CCCCACCTGTCTGGCCGATACTCCTCCGGAGGGCAGCTGTACGCCGCTTGACCTCCACCTTGAGGTCCGACCACTTTTTTTTAATCTCCGCAGGGGTGCGTGTCTCGGAACCCACCGCATTCACCCTCTCGCAAACTTTCTCCCACTCCAAGCGTTTTCGTTTTGCACTGACACCACTGGACAGGCTGCCAAACAAAACACGCTGTCGCTCCTCCACCTCCGCCACCAGCATCTCCACCTCGCACGCCGTAAATTTCGTTTTTCTTGTCATTTTGTCTGCGTGCGAGGACAGGGAGACCATATTTAAATAAATCTGCATATTTATAGGTGGGTGTAATGGGGGCGGGCCCAATCACTCCAACATCTGCGCTCAATTCCAAGCTGATTGGGATTTATCAAGGAAACACACGTGGCTTTCGGCGCCCGCACACCTTGATACATACAATTTTTTTTCAGCGTGACGGACCTTGTGTGCGCTCGTTTCTGGTATGAGTCCCACGCAAGTGTTGATACATGAGGCCCCTGGACATGTCTCTGTGTCCTCTCCCCATCCTGCTGCAGCTGCTGCTGCAGCGGCTGAACAGATGATTTGTTTCAGTGATCAGATTAGTTGTTTACTTTAAGCCGAATACAGTAAAGAGCCAGACCACGGAGCGCGATGCGTCATTACGCACAGATGTTTCCAATTTTAATGCCATTTTTGGAATTTATGTTGTGATCTGTGCACACAACCCACCTTTGTCACATGAGGTTTGAATATGTGCAACTTTATGTGAGTGTCTTTATTTGTGGAAAGGGATGTTTGTCTTACTAGTGGGTCCAACATTACACACACCAAATCTATCTGTGCTTATATGAGACAGTGTGGAGGACGCCCAATGCAGCGACACTTGTTGAGAAGCTGCCTTCTGTCGCCATCGTGTGGCATTATTGTCTTCAGACATCTCTTGATCTCTTTGACTACTTCACGAAAAATAGTAATACGCCTCACCGGTGGCGGATTTAAAGACGAGGAGAGGAGCTGATGTTATTGGTCAATACAGGTCTCGGCTGTGTTAAACCCACTCCACACCCTCTCTCCTCCCTCCCTACGACTTACACCGCTGGGAGGAGCTGAGTTTGGGAGGGTTGCGCCTCTCACCAAAATACCAAATTGTGCTTGGGAACGCCTTGTCGGCGCGGCGGACCTGACTTACGCTGCGTCTGCGGCACGTCTCCAGCGAGGCACGAAAATAGAGCCCCCAGTCTCAATGCAAGAAGCGGCATCTGCAATATAGCCTGATAGCCTGACTCTATATAAAATCATATGGCAACAGTGACAACCCAGGAAAAATAAAAAATAAAAAAAATTGAGTAGAATAGAATAGAATATTCCTTTATTGATCCCCCATGGGGGAAATTTTTTTGTCACAACAGCATCACAGACAAAGAGTGCAAAAATGCTGTTTAAAAAATAAAGATCCTAATATTAAGAACTTAAATATATGTAATAATTAAGAAAAAAATGTAGAAAAAGAAAAAAGGGAGAAGAAAAAAATACACATCTACAATATACACAATTTAAATGCCAGAAAAAAATGGTGGTGTAAATCCAGTTATTATTACAGTTCGTTGTAAAGTCTTATTGCAGAGTGGAGGAATGACCTGTGGAAGCACTCCGTCTTGCAAGGTGGAAGTCTCAGTCTGCTGCTGAAGGAGCTGCTTAAAGCCCCCACAGTCTGATGCAGTGGGTGAGAGGGATTGTCCATGATGGATACAAGCTTTGTTAACATCCTCCTCTCACCCACCTCCTCCAGGGAGTCCAAAGAACAGTCCAGGACAGAACTGGCCCTCCTGACCAGTCTATTCAGTCTCTTCCTGTCCCTCTCTGTGCTCCCTGCCCCCCAGCAGACCACCGCATAGAAAAGTGCAGATGCTACCACAGAGTCATAGAAAGTCCTGAGCAGAGTCCTACACACTCCAAAAGACCTCAGTCTCCTCAGCAGGTGGAGACGACTTTGGCCCTTCTTGTACAGTACGTCTGTGTTGGTTGACCAGTCCAGTTGGTTGACTTGTGTAGTGTTGAATGTATATTGATGAATGCCTCATTGAAAATATAGCTTAACTGCCTTTAAAATTCACATCAGGTGGAACTGGCCACTGTACAAGTTATGACCAGATCCAGCTGTAATGGTGAGCCTCCTCTTTGTTCTCTTAACGTTATATTTTTAACCCAACCAAAATACCACTGATGCTTGAAAAGGAATCAATTATGTCACCCTCTGATTTAAATTTACCTTAAAGTCTTCCACATGTGGTTTGGATTCCTGTAATCCAGGTCTTTATCCCTAATCTATTAAGGAGAGTAGCAAATTCTCATTTATTATATGAAGAAGGTCTCAAAGTGAGTATTATGCAAGTTACATTCAATGTTGGATCTAAGGAAGATCCTGATGCAAAACCATAGACTGTATCGAGAATGGACAGAGTCTGCCTCCTTGCTGGGTGAAGCCACTCCGAGAACAGCATCCTCTGTTAATGGGCTGCAGTATAGGTCATAAATCCCGCCTCCGCCAGCAAAGCTTATGGGGCTGTGGACAAACTTCAGAAATTTATTACACAGAACATATTTTTTTTTCCCCCCTGCTTGCAATGTTAACATGTAGTTACAGTAAGACTGGTTTGTGCTCAAGTCCTCTTTTTTCTGGGGGTTCATTTTTTCTATGATTGACACTTGATACAGCCTGTGAGCGTTCGGGGATTGCGTAGCTCTCCTGGGGGTTACGCTGTTTGAGCTGAGCGTCATCACAGCGACTCTTGGCGACTGCGCGGCCAAATGCGCGCATCGTTACTGCACAGCGCTGGTTTCAGGGAATGAAGAAAAATCCCGGAAATACAGAGAGCTATTTGGCTTCAAATCTGTATACAGGCGGTAGGCGAAACCAAGTTGTCCATGGTATATACTGTCTATGTGCGAAACACTGTCTATCAGAGACACTGGCCCTCATTTATCAAGCTTGTGTACGGCAGAAAACTTGCGTACACATTGCGTACGTCAATTTTGACGTGAGGATCGGCATTTAGCAATCTGCACATGAGCGTACGCTAGGGGAAAACCTACAACTAAATCTCATGACAGGTCTGACATCTTGTACGCAAGTTTGAGTCAGTGTGGATCTGCGGTGAAAACAATAAGCAAAAGCATACAGCCAGATATTCAGTAGTCATACTGATCATTTTTGTCATTATCCTATTCGCCTAATTTTTACTATCAGAAAAAAAAATTCCACTGGTCTGGTTTTCACGGCGGCCATAACTCCCATACACTGGCCAACTTGCAAAAAAATAAAAAATAAATCTTTAATTGTGCGACGTTTTGGCATCAAACCTTTATCAAAGGGGTTATTTTTTTTCTTCTTTGTTCCTGGATCCTGACATCTGCCGCATCATCCTCCGACGCACCAGGCAAAAAATAAATTCCCCCCTTTTTCTGAATGGCAGCAATAGTAAAATCCAAATTTTCATTTTGGAGAAAAGTAGGTAAACGAAAAAAGAAATAATTTCTGCATACAAGATCGCATAAAAGCATATAATACTCTAAACAAACAGGTCCAGGTCACGCATTTTGATTGGCGTGATGCATCGATTTGTGGTTAGAATTGTGATTGGTCAGATATCAATTCTTTCCCCTATTAAAACCAGAGCTTTTATAGTTGTCAGATCTCGACAATGGCAGATTTGCTTCTACTAGATGAGTACGCACAGGGAAGACGGGAGCGGGTCTTCAGGGACCACAGAGATCTCCTCATGGAGAGTGATGAGTGGCTCATCAGTCGCTTTCGGCTTCCAAGGCATGTCATCCTTGATTTATGCCACAATTTAGAAGCCCGGTTATGGAGGGACTCTAGGCGGTCAAACGCTTTGCCAGTGCCAGTGCAGGTGCTCGCCACTGTAGGGTTTTTGGCAACCGGGACCTTTCAGAGGGAGATTGGAGACAGAGCTGGGGTCTCCCAGCCGACAATGAGCAGGGTGATGCCAGACATGTTGGCCGCCATCAAGTCTCTCTCCAGGGAGTACATCCAGTTCCCCTACGATGATGCCCAGCAATCTGTGATTAAAAGGCAATTTTATGAGATTGCTGGGTTTCCAAATGTAATTGGAGCGATTGATTGTGCGCATGTGTGTCTGAAGCCACTATCAATGAATGATTACGCATTCATCAATCAAAAAAAATTACAATTCAATCAATGTGCAAGTCATTTGTGATGCCAAGATGGCATTACTTAATGTAGTAGCCAAGTGGCCTGGAGAAACACACGATTCTTTTATTTTTTTCAAATAGTAGTGTCGGTGCACGGCTACGTGACGGCACCCTGCAGGGTCAGAGTCATCTCCTCGGTAAGTGGCCTGAATAAATCTGCAATAGGAATGAAGCAAAGTCTTAAATTGTCTGACATTTCCATGTGGTTATTTTTCTAGGTGACAAAGGTTATGCCCTGACGGAGTACCTGGTAACCCCGCTGGCAAACCCGGCCACAGAGCAGGAGCAGCGATTCAACAGTGCGCACAAACGGACACGTGTCACTGTGGAGCGCTGGTTTGGTCTCCTGAAGGGCAGGTGGCTCTGTCTTGCTCCAGCGGGGGGAACATTGCTGTTCACACCCGACAAGGTGTGTGACATCATTCTGGCTTGTGTGGTTTTGCACAACGTGGCGTTGGTAAATGGCGTGCCATTGGATGTGCCGGCACAAAGAGAGGACCCAATGCCAAGGGGAACCGTGGCAAGGAGACACTCCACCATGCGCTGTATGGAGGAGACGGGACCTGATCGACTGCTTCTAAAATGTTGGTAGGCATTTAAGTTGAGGAAGTGCTGACTATTTAACTGATTTAACTGCTAAAATTAAACAAATTGAATTAAACTAAATGCTTGAAATTAAAGGAAATAAAGCAAAATGCAGACAATGGAAAAGTTTATACTTAAATTTTATTTATTCAAATTGTCATTTATTTTCTGTAAAGTTCCGTTGATTGCTTCAAGTGAGGTCACGACTGCCGCCAATAAACGGCAAATCTCCGTCTGTCTTTCTAGGACCTCTGCAGTTATGATGGCCCTTGTATTACGGGAAGCTGGTGCTCGCTCGCCCTGCAAAATGTGCAAATGTAAAAATTTGACTCTTGTTTTTTTTACAATGCAAGCAAATTAGGGTTGATAGTTACCATTCTCTGGCTCTGACGCAAGTGTGTCGGTGTCTCCACCCATAATGCTCTCTGAGCCCATCATTGAGACGATTTTGTCCTTGGTGGCAGTCAGGGTCAGGCTGGGGTCTGGTCCTCCACCTCCATTCTGCATGCTGCTATGCCTCAGGGCAGCAACACGCCTTTTGGTGGACAGCTTCAGGTCCGACCACTTTTTCCTCACCTATATACCGTCAAGAAAGCGTCATTTGTATTTGTTTAACCCATTCACAACCAAGGTTGCTCTACAATGGCACAAAATTTAACAATTAATACTGAAGCTGTCAAATATTAACTGCTGAGGGCACACAAAATGTTAATTATCATTACACTTACCTCAGCCGGTGTCCTCTCATCGGATGCGACGCTGTTCACTGCCGCTGTGATTTTTTCCAAACCATGTTTTTCTGGTGGCCTTTTATTCCAGTCTTCAAGCTTCCGAAGAGCACATCCTTGTCTATGTACAGTGCCTTGAAAAAGTATTCATACCCCTTGAACTGTAATTTAGTATCAGCATAAATACAACTGTTCTGTGAGGACCTCAGTGCTTTGTTAGAGAACACTAGTCAACCAACCAAGAGCATCATGACCAAGGAACTCACCAGACAGGTCAGGGAAAAAGTTGTGGAGAAGTTTCAAGCAGGGTTAGGTAACAAAAAAATATCCAAAGCTTTGAACATCTCAAGGAGCACTGTTCAAACCATCATCCAAAATTGGAAGAAGTATTGTCATGATTTTGCTGGTTTGGACACTTTTATGGCTCTGTGGAGTGTTTTTTAGTAGCAGTGCATGCCCCTTGTAATAACCCCCGCAAGAACTGTTGTTCAGGACTGCTTACTTGTGCTTCCTACCTATTCGGCTACTGTAATAACAGTTGTTCGAGCCCACACGCAACATTTTTGCTCTCATTCATGAAACGCTTAAATTGGGGACAAATTTGGGGGCAGCTTTTGCCGGGGACAGGTCATCCAATACGGGGACCGTCCCCGGGAAATGGGGGAGGTCTGGTCACCTTATGCTAAAGGCTAAAAAGGTTCATTATTAACAGAAAGACATTAAAAGTCCCATTTGCAGTTTGCCACAAGCCATGTAAGGGACACAGCAAACATGTGGAAGAAGGTGCTCTGGTCAGATGAGACCAAAGTTGAACTTTTTGGCCTGAATGCAAAGCGCTATGTGTGGCGGAAAAGTAACACTGCTCATCACCCTGAACACACCATCCCCACTGTGAAACATGGTGGTGGCAGCCTCATGCTGTGGGGATGCTTTTCTTCAGCAGGGACAGAGAAGCTGGTCAGAGTTGATGGGAGGATGGATGGAGCTAAATACAGGGCAATCCTGGAAGAAAACCTGTTGGAGGCTGCAAAAGACTTGAGACTGGGAAAGAGATTCACCTCCCAGCAAGACAATGACCCTAAACACACAGCCAGAGCTACAATGGAAAGGTTTAGATCAAAGAATATTAATGTGTTAGAATGGCCAAGTCAAAGTCCAGACCTAAATCCCGTTGAGCATCGATGGCAAGACTTGAAAATTGCTGTTCACAGACGCTCTCCACCCAATCTGGCTGAGCTTGAGCCATTTTGCGGAGAAGAATGGGCACAAATTTTAGTCTCTAGATGTGCAAAGCTTGTAGAGACATACCCCAAAAGACTTGCAGCTGTAATTGCTGTAAATGTTTTTAAGAAAACTAAGGCTAAGAGTCTGGGACTGGACAATATTTGTGGCAGAGCACTTAAAACCTGTGCAGATCAGCTGAGCAGCATTTTCCATTATATTTTCTCACTGTCTCTTCAGCTGCCTAAAGTACCCAAGCTTTTGAAACACTCAGTGATTGTTCCTATAGCAAAGGGTGGCGATGGCGATGGCGATGGGTGGTGATTACAGGCCTGTAGCTTTGACTTCACCAGTGATGAAGACTTTTGAGAAGATCATCAAAACAGAAATTTAAATGGTGGCGCGCTCGGATAACCACAACGTAGCCAAGACGGAGCAGCGGAGGTAATTCACACACACAAAGCAGTAAGAATCCGTTTGCGACGGACACGACAGTGACTTTCAGAGCTAACGTGGCAGATGGCGGGTGCACCGACTATGGCTGGAGCCCAAATAATCCCTTCATAGCTAGCATGAAGCTAACACAGGCAGCTAACGGAGCAGCAGTCCCCACGTTTCCACTGCGACTGGACACGGCATGGCCGCTCACTCCACCGCCATCGGGATCTACAAACCCCTTCACCAAAGCAGCGGTGCAGCACAGAGGAGACCTCGGTGAGTCTGCAGCGCCCGCAGGTGTCAACCATACCGCTGCTACCCCGTTATGCCCCACAGAATTCCCCCACATCACTGATCAATGTATTAATCCCTTCACCCAGATGAACAGAGACTGTTTCGCTACTAGTGCTCCTGTTTCCTACGCCCAAGCACCTTTTCAACCACAGACTGTGCCACAAATCACCTCACATGTGCCCTCACATGTAACACTAAGCTATGCAGTGCAGGGCCAGACCTATGACCACAGTTTTCCAAAAACTGAACCTCCCCCTCTCCCACCACCCTCTGCATGCTATGGTGGCCCCATAGAGGCCCCATAGACATCAGTGATGATGAATGCTATTATAGACAAAGAGAGAGGGTCCCCATACTGCAGCCAGGTCAGTTTGTTGGGACTGGTGCATGGAAAGACTTCATATACCAGTTTGAGAGTTGTGCAAAAGCCAATCGGTGGACTGAAAAGACTATGGCCATGCAGCTAAGGTTCAGCCTGACTGGGGCAGCTGGGGCAATCATCCATAAAAACCCACGGTCGGCTCAGTGGAGTTATCAGTGCATTGACTCACAACCTCAATGAGAAAGCAAGATGGCGCTGGTGTGTGTGGCCTGCCGTCTCTCGGTGTCAGCGCTGTTTGTGTTTGTGCTGTTTGTGTCTATCGTTATCACGAATGTCAGCTCACTGTTTGTGTATGACCGCCAAACACTGCTGGATCTTCGCCCCTCTGCCAAGGATTTGGTGAAATTAGATCCTGATCACTGTGGTCATACGACGTTTAAGCCGTTTCACCTCTCCGGGATACCTACTCACCTTGGCTGCACTTTCGCTCCACTTCCCCGGCGTAAATGCCGGCGCCGCCGTGGCAAACGCAGTGGCCAGCTGGTGAAAGTTAAAGCTCTCTTGGCTTGATCTTCCGCGGTTTCCCTGAGGAGAAATGGAGTGGGATCTGGTCTCTTTCTTCATCTGTGATCGCTGCACCCTGTCGACTCCTGGCTGGTACCTGTCGTCGGTTCGGATGAGGTAATCCGTCCCCGCGGCCACTGCTCTTCTCGTCCCCGCCGGCGTAGGGTGAATCGCCATCTACGGGCCCTGTGTCGGGCTCCACGATCAGCTGATGCCTCGGATGTGCTGATCTCTGCCAGGTTCGGCCTTGTCAATGCCAGATCATTGGCAAACAAAACTTTTATCCTGAAGGATTTTTTCTTGTCCCGTGGATTGGATATTCTCTTTGTGACGGAGACATGGCTGAGTACCGGTGAGTCCAGTCCTCTTATTGAACTCTGCCTGCCGGATTGCTGCTATTTTAACTCCCCGCGTTTGTCTGGTCGAAAAGGAGGTGGAATAGCAGTTATTTTTAAAAGCGACTTTAAATGCCGGCAGATCTGCCTGCAATTCTCCTTTACAAGTTTTGAACTGTGCTTGTTTGAACTGGGCTGCTCTCATGTTGTCCTGTGCGCCGTCATCTATCGACCACCCAAGTACAATGAGGATTTTATAAGTGACTTTTCTGAATTTCTGGCCGAAATTTTGCCGAAATACGACCGTGTCCTTATCGTTGGTGATTTTAATATTCACATTTGTTGCCCTGAAGAGCCAGTCTCCAGGAGCTTTTTAAATCTCATTAACTCTTTTAACTTCGTGCAGTCTGTGTCCGGTTCTACACATAATCTCGGACACACACTAGACTTGGTGCTCTCGCACAGTCTGTGTGTTTCCAACCTTGACATTTGTGATGCTTTTTTCTTGGATCATATGCCGATTTTATTTGACATCCCCACTCAGTGTCCGGTTAAATTGCGCGCTCCTCCTAAACTGCGTTGCATGTTTAACTCTTCCTCGCCTGCTCTGTTCTCATCTACCTTTGTTGGTCTCTGCGAGGATGACTCTGCAGCATCTGTGTGTGTGGATACTGAGGAACAGGTATTGAGATTTCACTCCACCTGTCTACAAACACTGGACACGATCGCTCCTCTGAAGACCCGGCGCACCAAACCTACGCCCGAGCCCTGGTTGAACGACGTCACTCGTGCAGCCAGGTGAGAGTGCAGGAGGGCGGAGCGCAGGTGGAAAAAGGACAGACTGCATGTGTCTCTTGGCATCTTTAAAGATAGTCTGTGGAAGTATCAGAAGATTGTGAAAGCTGAGAAGAATAAATTCTTCTCAGAATTAATTGCTTTTAACTGTAACAACCCCAGAGCTCTGTTCAAAACCATAAACACTGTCCTTGAGGCTCCAAAGTCTCTTGGTTTTGATGCCTCCACTGAAATCTGTGAAAAATTCCTCCACTTCTTCACTGATAAAATTATATCAACCAGAGCCTGTATCTCTCAACCTTCCTATGACCCTTCAGCCCCTCTGCACCCCTCATCTGTCTTTTCTAAATTTGAATCTGTGTCCCTCTCTATTTTAAAGGATATAGTCGGCCATATGAAGCCTTCTGGTTCCCCTGCTGATGCAATCCCCCCTCGCTTGTTTAAAGAGGTACTTGCTACTATTGGACCAAGTGTCCTTAATATTGTAAACAGTAGCCTCTCATCTGGTACAGTACCTAGGGCTTTTAAACATGCTGTAGTACAACCTCTACTTAAAAAAACTGGCCTCGACCCATCCCTCTGTGCCAGTTTCAGACCCATCTCAAATCTTCCATATCTGTCCAAGATTCTAGAGAAGGTTGTCTACAACCAGTTGTTACCATTTTTGGAAGACAATGGTATCACAGAGTTGTTCCAGTCTGGTTTTAAAGCTCGCCACAGCACAGAGTCAGCACTTTTAAAGGTGTCAAACGATATTCTCATGTCAACAGACTCTGCAAAGTTTGTTGTCCTTGTGCTCCTGGATCTGTCTGCTGCATTTGACACTGTTGACCACAGCATTTTAATCTCTCGCCTGGAGCACTGTGTGGGCATTAAGGGTGTCGCCCTGGACTGGTTCCGGTCTTATTAAACGGACAGAAGTTTCTGCGTTCAAATAGACAACTCTGTGTCGTCAACAGCTCCTCTTCCACATGGGGTCCCCCAGGGCTCAATCCTCGGCCCTCTTTTATTTGCCTTTTATCTGCTCCCCCTTGGTTCTGTTTTCAGGAAACATGACATATCCTTTCATTTTTATGCAGATGATTGTCAGAGCTATCTTCCACTAGCACAGAACAACTCTGACTCAGTCCAACAACTCACTGACTGTCTTAAGGACGTTAAAGCCTGGCTTTCTTTTACCTTCCTCAGTCTTAATGAGAACAAGACTGAAGTAATGTTTTTTGGACCAAGTGGCGGCCACCCCCCCAACATCGACCTAGGCTCCCTCTCATTCTACCTAAAGGAGGTCGTCACTAATCTGGGAGTTAAGTTTGACCCTGATTTTAAATTTGAGAAGCAGATCAGCGGGGTGGTACAAAAAAAATTTTAACAGCTACGCCAAATAGCGAAGGTGAAGCCCATTTTATCAAGACCTGACCTGGAAAAATTAATCCATGCTTTTATCACTACCCGTCTTGATTACTGCAACTCTTTGTACGTAGGGATTAGCCAGGCTTCCCTTGCCCGCTTGCAGCTTGTGCAGAACTGTGCTGCACGTCTCCTGACCCAGACCCGCAGGCGCGAGCACATCACCCCCATCCTGGCATCCTAACACTGGCTCCCTGTACAGCACAGAATTCATTTTAAGCTTTTAATATTTGTTTTTAAGGGCCTGAACAATCTTGCTCCACCTTATATTTCGGAGATGCTCCAGCCTTATTGCCCACCCCGACCCCTAAGATCAGCTGATCAGCTTTTACTGACAGTCCCCAGTACAAAGCTGAAGCTCAGAGGGGACAGAACATTTGCCGCTGCTGCCCCCTAAGCTCTGGAATGAGTTGCCCTTGAAAATTAGACAGGCCTCCTCATTTCCTGTTTTTAAATCCCTTTTAAAAACACACTTTTATTCATTGGCTTTTGATACATTGTAGTGTTCATTTGTTTTTTATCATCTTAGCACTTGCTGTGAGCCTCCTTATTTATATACTTATTTATTCTTTTGCATTGATGTATTTCTGCTTGCTTTATCTTGTTCTTTGATTGTTTTATTTGTTTTTATGTGTCATTGTACAGCACTTTGGCTACCCTTGTGGTTCTTTTAAATGTGCTATAGAAATAAAGTTGATTGATTGATTGATTGATTGATTTATTGATTGTGGAGGAGATTGAGGCTGCCTATGGACCTTGCTCGGAGTATGCTGCAGCCGTTGGCATAGAACTGAGACAAAGAACCAGAAAACCAAGTCAGTCAAAACAAAGTCTGCATGCACTCAGAGATGACATTTATGAAAAAGTTTCAATTGCATATGCTGGCCGTGGAGAGTTAGAACAGGATGCAATTGGTGTGGAGATATTTACCAATCCTACAAGCCTACAACATAGCTCGCAGGTATGAGGCCAGCAGAAGAGCCTCGCAGACAGTTGCACAGCTAATGCGGTCAGGTGCTGCTAATGCTAGTGAACAGAAAACAAGAGCAGCTGCAGTACGCAAAGATGATAATTGACCCCACTCAAGGGAGCCAGAGAGAGTGGCCATAGGGTGCACTGACCAACCAAGATCTCTCCGGCAGGGGCGACCTCACAAAACTGACAGCCCTAAAAAATTTGACTTTAGAGATATTGTTTGCCACATCTGTTCTGGCATTGGACATTTTCAGAAAAATCGCCCCTCCCCCAAGCGGACTGCAGCTAATGTCACGCCAGCTCCTGTGCAGGCCCCAGCACCTGCCCTAAACACTGTGACTGTGAGTCCTAGAAGCCAAGAGGAGGAGGAAATGTGTGTGCAGGTGACAATTTATGGACTAAAAATCTGTGCCTTGCTTGACTCCGGGGCACAAAGGAATGTGCTTTCTCTCCATTGTTACAACAACTTACCTGCAAAAGCCAGACCCCCTATCCAACCATCAACTGCAGAGGTCCTGCAGGGCGTTGGGCCGGGAAGCCTGGTGGTCCTGGGAGAAATCACTACTCCAGTCCTCATCGGAAACCATGTGACTAATGTGATCTTCATCATGGCTGACACAGTTGAGAACATTGACGTTATCCTGGGGCATCCTTTCCTGCTACAGGCACAGGCCTGCCTGGATTATGGCCACGGGAAAGTCACCCTCTTCGTAAAATATACACCCCGTGTTGTCACCAGTTCAGGACCTGAGGTGCACCTCGTCAAAGTGGCACGCAGGACCGTGCTGGAGCCAGGGTTTGAGTACATTGTGCCTGGCACCACACACTTCTACCCCATTGCTGCTGGTGAGCTCATGCTAAGCCCTGCGAAGAGCATCGTTAAAAGACACCATGTGCTTGTAGCCCGTGCGGTTGTGCAGGCACGGCAGGCAGCTGGTATCCCCATCAGAGTTTTCAACCCCGGCGCCACACCCATCACATTAAAAAGAGGGACTGTTGCTGGTGTCCTCCAGCCCGCCAACGTAGTAGAGGAGGCAGGTCCCTGCCCCTCCAAAGTCACAGCAGCCCCTGATCACGTCCCCAACCACCTGCAGACACTGTATGCTGAGAGCTGTGCGAACCTGCCGGAAGAGGACCACTGGAGACTGGCTAAACTGCTAACATCTTACAGCGATGTTTTCTCCACTGGGCCCACCAACCTAGGCCGCACCAGCCTCGTCAAGCATGACATCCTGACCACACCAGGGCCTCCAATCAAGCAGCAACCCCGCAGAATGGCCCAAGATAAGCAGGTTGCAGCAGACCAGCAGTTGCAACAGAGCCTAGAGGTGGGCGTCGCACAGTCCAGCAACAGCAGCTGGGCAGCACCGATTGTCATGGTGCGGAAAAAAGACCAAAGCCCATGCCTGTGTGGGGACTACAGATCCTTAAATGAGCGCACCATCAAAGGTGCATACCCCCTGCCATGCATACAGGACACTTTAGACACATTATCCACTGCCAGGTATGTCACTACGCTGGACTTGACATCAGGGTACTGGCAGGTGGAGATGACCCCAGGGCCCGGAAAGCCGCCACCTTCTGTACCCACAAGGGGCTCTTTGAGTGGAATGTGATGTCGTTTGGACTCTGTAATGCACCGGCCACATTCCAGTGGCTCATGGACAGAGTCCTGGTGGGGCTACAATGGGAAACATGTCTCGTCTACCTGGACGACATCATCGTCCTGGGGAAGGACATCACTCAGATGATAGAGCGGCTCCACCAGGTGTTCAGAGGGCTCTGTGAAGCCAACTTAAAACTGAAACCAGCAAAGTGCTGTCTGTTTTGAGAACAGGTTACTTACCTCGGACACATTGTCTCCGCCAGGGGAATTGCCACCACCCAGAGAAGTTGAGGAAAGTGGCAGAGTGGCCCATACCCCAGAACATGACAGAGGTGCACCAGTTCATCGGTTTGGCGTCTTACTACCGGTGCTTCGTGGAAGGTTTTGCCACCATAGCCAAGCCACTGCATGAACTCACAAAGAAGTATGCACGCTTTCACTAGACAGCCGAGTGTCAGGGTGTGTGCGAACTAAAAAAAAGACTCACATTAGCGCCTGTTCTTGGCTACCCCCTCGACAGTGGTGAGTTCTTCCTGGATACTGATGCAAGCGACTGGGGAATAGGGGCTGTTCTTTCCCAGTTGCAAGGGGGAGAGGAGAAAGTTCTGGTGTATTGCAGCAGAAGGCTGTCATCCACAGAACAAAACTACTGCACTACCAGATGTGAGCTCCTGGCAGTAGTAGAGTTCACCTCCCATTTCAGACAGTACCTACTAGGACCACCATTCACTGTACGAACCAACCACAGCAGCCTACGCTGGCTGACCAGGCTAAGGGAGCCGGAAGGGCAGCTGGCTCGTTGGTTAGAGAAACTGGCAGAGTATGACTTCCAGGTGTTACACCATCCTGGAAGACACGAACAGAATGCCGATGCACTTCCCAGGAGGCCATGTAGTGCTTCATGCCCCTGCACTGCAACACAGCCCAGCCCCAGCAGTGAACGGTGTCATGACAAAGGAGTGCAGTGCAGCCTAACAGACACCCCAGCTGCAGAGGCCCTCATCACAATACCCCCAGAGCAACCTCTAGTGGGGGTAGTTAACACCCACAAAAGTGATGACCACAACCACACCTCGTCTCATCCCAGTATTAACAGGGTGAGTGAATCTCCACAGTCCAATCTGTTCAGTGGGTGGACCCATGAGCAAATGAGAGCTGCACAAATGACTGATCCAGACCTGGCACCTGTGTGGCGGTTGTTTGAGGAAGGGGTTGGGCGACCTGTTTGGACTGACATAGCACACTGTAGCCCTGCCACCAAAGCTTATTGGGCACAGTGGAAAAGGCTTTACCAAAGAGATGGAACTCTAATGAGAAAGTTCTATAGCAGTGATGGAAAAGTGTTCTATCTCCAGATCCTGCTGCTCAAGGCTTATCGCACCGCTGTGATGGAGCAGATGCATGATGGTCCTGTTGGCGGCCATTTTGGGGTGGAGAGGACCCTTGTGTGCCTTCAGACAAGGTATTACTGGCATAACATGAAGGACGACGTCACATTGTGGTGCCGCACCTGCACCAAATGTGCTGCCAAAGATTGCCCGAAGAAAACCCCCCAAGCAGCTATGGGTTCAGTTAAAGTGGGTGCCCCCATGGAAAGGATTGCTGTCGACTTAATGGGCCCACTAAACGAGACTGATGCCAGTTATAAATCTAAGGACTTCGAGAAGATTTGGAAAAGACCCCTGGAAAACTATCAGCTCACACCTGCCTTTAAATGATAATGAGCTGTGTGTAACCATGCTCTTCCTCCCCAAGGCCATTTTGAGCTGCCAGCACCGCCGCAGTGGTCCAGGAGTGGTGGTCTGGAGATCTACTGAGGACCTCCTCAGAGGACCTCCAGACCACCATGACTGGAAGCACCAGCCTGCCTCCCCAGCCTGAGGAACACCTGCTGCTCACAGGAATAAAAGTATATAGAAGCAAGTCCGAAGATAATACCAACGATGGTAAACACACGCAGTTACAGCCAAAGCACTAGTCATAAGGGCGGCGGTAAAGCAATATAAATTGGTAAAACTTACAGCTTCCATGTTTGAAGTTGGGTCCCTGACATGGACAGTTGATACGGATCCAGGTTTTATCTTCAGCTTCTTAGTGAATCCTGCTTTGAACTGCCCCTCGATGATAAAACAGTTTGTGGTGAAATGGTTAGCACACACATACAACATTTTCAGAGTTGTTGTGGGTACATTTCCAAAATGGTAGACGCTACCTCAGCAAAGAAGTTTTAGAGAAGACGTTTTTATGGATTATCGGGGGCGCTGCCACTAACATGTAGTTCTGTAACCATAATTGCACAGCTTTTCCATCTGCTCGTTTGCGCTCATATTTTCACAAAGGAGGGGAGAGCAAAAGAGGAGGGGGGGGGGGGGGGCAGCTTCGAGGGGATGCATATTATTAGTAGAAAACCACCCATAAGTGCATTTTTTATTAGAGGGGACCTTTAAGTAAATTTGGAGCTTGACTAGAGTCACAGCGGAGTCACAGCATGCTCCTGTCATCTCGATTGCTAAGTTTAAGCCATAGACTGTATATAGAATGGACGGAGTCTGCCTCCTTGCTGGGTGAAGCCACTCTGAGAACAGCACCCTCTGTTGATGGGCTGCAGTATAGGTCATAAATCCCACCACCGCCAGCAAAGCTTATGGAGCTGTGGACAAACTTTTGATATTTATTACACAGAACATAAATTTTTCTCCCCCCTGCTTGTGATGTTGACATGTAGTTACAGTAAGACTGGTTTGTGCTCATGTCCTCTTTTTTCTGTACAGCTCCGTTTTTAAAAGTTATTAGGGGGTTTATGTTTTCTATGATTGACACCTGATACAGCCTATGGGCGTTCAGGGATTGCGTAGCTCACCCGGGGGATATGCTGTTTGAACCGGGTGTCAATCACAGCTACTCTCGGCGACTGCGCACCCAAATGCGCACATCGCTACTGCGCAGCGCTGGTTTCAGGAAATTAAGAAAAATCCCGGAAATATCAAGAACTATTTGGCTTCAAATCCTTATACAGGCGGTAGGCAGAAACAAGTTGTCCATAGTATATACAGTTTATGGTTTAAGCTGGTAAGCTGCGCTGTTTTATATCAGTCTTATATCGTAACACAACCAGCAACATGAGCTCTGACAAATGAAACCTGACAGTCAAAACAAGAAGAACAAGCAAATATGAAGAATTACTGGCGATAAAAAAGGAGTGGATAGTAGAGCTGTGGACAGATCAGCCTTGCCTATTCAACATCAACTGCAGGATTTCTTCTACATGTCATGGTACATCACCACTGCTAAATAAAAGCTGCCACACCTCAACAATAATTTTTTTTACACACTACCTTGGACTCAGTATGTATCAGTGCGGCGCACACAGGCTGCACCACGAGGCGCGTGTTCAGAGTATTAGCATTAGCGAGTTCAGAGTTGTCGTATGCGAACACACAGCTGATAAATGAGCTGCCCCCAAAAGTCACACACCACCACAAATAGATTCCACACCAGTGGGAAACACTGAACTGTCAAAAAATGCTAAAAGAATACAGTTGTAGTCTTGTAAATAGTGACCCTGCAAGATTCACAGTCTTTGTAAATTCTTGGTCTGACTAGGCTGTGACTAAAAACTCTAGACACTTCTCTTTAGATGTGAGCAGGTGTAAGCTGATAGTTTTCCAGAAGTCTTTCCCAAATCTTCTCAAAGTCCTCTGGTGGATAGCTGGCCTTAGGCAGGATTCATTTGACAATGCATGAGATTGGGACAGGAGATGCTAAGCCTGTCAAGATGAATTTGTGCAGGGTTCCCCTCCATCTACAACAGGAAGTATCCAATAATTTAAAGCAAATGCTTGCCAGTGGCATCATCAGTCCTTCTTGTAGTATGTGCGTAGCACCTGTGGTGCTTGTGAAAAAGATCCAAGGCAGGCTTTGCTTCCGTGTTGACTATAGGAAACTCAATGATGTCACTAGAAAGGATGCATATCCCTTGCCAAGGATTGATTATAGTTGAATGATGTTCATTATGTCTTCGGTTTTTCAGAAAATAGTTTTCTTTTTTCTTTTATCCCAGGCATGTAATCTTTTTTTATGTAACTTGACATGTTTTAGTGGAAACTTCCGCCTTCCTCAGAAATGTCACTTGGTGGTAGGTGTGACATGTCATATTAGCTAGTGTTACAGTGGCATGACCCTCCTGTCAATTTTGACAGGGGGGGTCACGCCTCCCGCTGTCTGTTTGCCTCTGCAAGATGCTGCTTCAGGTGTGTGAGGGTGTGTATGCCCCCTCATCCCTGTTCATCGTCCCCGGGCCCCATTGTATGAGGTAGGTTGGTGAGGATTCCGCTATGTCCCAAATCCAGGTTGTGCTGCCCAATTTAATCAGCTTTCAACTTTAAACTTTCAACTTTATTGATTGTCCCATTATGGGCGATTTGTTGTACAACAGATAAGATCATAGCGTACATAAAGAGAAACATGCAGGAGATATTACAGTATGCAGTACATTAGCCGGACAGTTAAAAACTCACCGAGTGCACAGATCAAGGTGCAAGGAGTGAGGATACCACTTGTAAAGGAGGTAGGTAATAATAAATATAATAAATAAGTAAAAGGCACTGATCAGCATATATACAGTGACCTGTGCAAGTAGAAAAGAGTCATAGGCTCTGAAAGCATATATACAGCAACCTATGTATGAAAGGTTAAGAACAAAAGAAAATTAGAATCTGGTCCATAAGTGCAGCAGCCTATAATACACAAGAGTAGGTCAGCTACCTTGGTACATGCTACCTCCTCTTCGACACAAAGGAATTCTTATATCTGTTTTTGGTAGCTGGAGGAGCAACTAGGCGGAGACTAGAAGGAAGCAATTTATACTCATAATTGAGGGGATGTGTAGCATCATTTCGGATGGACTTTATTTGGTTAAGCATCCTAGAATTAAAAACATCATCCAGGCTGTTGAACGTAACCCCTGCAACTTTGGAGGCAGTTTTCACTATACTCATGAGTGAGTTTTTGTTCTTGACAGAGAGATTACCGTACCAACAGATGATACCAAAGGAAATGACAGACTCAATAAAGGCGCTGTAAAACATTTTCATCAGATTTTTGTCGACTTGGAATCTAGCAAGCTTTCTGAGACAGAAGAGATGTTGCTGACCTTTTTTACAAAGCATTTCACAGTTTTTGTCAAACCTAAGCTTGTTATCAATAATAGTGCCAAGGTATTTGTAGCTGTCCACTACTTCAACTTGTTGGTTATAAATGACACTACCATGAGGGGCAGCAGACCCGTGTCTAAAATCAATGTTGAGCTCCTTAGTTTCTTCAGCATTGATAAGGAGGAAAGACTTGTCACAGACAGGTAAAAAATCATCAAGAACAGGGCCGTAACTGGCTTCATCATCACGGAGCAGGCTGACGATGACGGTGTCGTCTGTGTACTTTATGATGAATCTGTCAGTGTGATGGTTACGACAGTCATTTGTATACAAAATAAAAAGAAGTGCAGACAGTACACAACCTTGGGGAGATCCAGTACAGGAAGGTAGAGAACATGACAGTGTTTCATTTACCCTTACTTGTTGCGACCTATTAATAAGGAAGTCTAAAATCCAACCCACAAGACATACGTCAAGTTCAAGGTGATGTTCAAGTTTGTTGGCTAATACATGAGGCCGGATCGTGTTGAAAGCGGAAGAGAAGTCGACGAACAATAGTCTAGCATGTGTCTTACTCTCCTCCAGGTGCTTACACACAAGATTAAGTAAGGTAGCTGTGGCATCTTGTACTCCTCTATTTTCTCTATATGCGAATTGGAGAGGGTCTAATAGATGCTTGGTTTTTGCTAGTATTTCTGTTTTGACTAGCTTTTCAAACTGCTTCATTACAGTGGAGGTCAAGGCCACAGGCCGAAAATCATTTAATGTGGTGGGTTTGTTTATTTTGGCAACGGGCACCACGGTTGCCTGTTTCCACACAGATGGCACCTTCTGAAGTGAGAGACACATTTTAAAAATAAAACTATAAATAGGGCTGAGTTGCTCGGCACAAAGTTTCAGCACACGACCACACAACCCACTGGGGGGGCTTGGCTTACCTGCCGCAGAAAGCGTTTCTTTAATTCATCATGTTTTTCACTATTATCTTGCGTATCAAATCATAAATAAAAATTATTAAGGCTCTGAGCCAGATCTAGGTCTGTGTTGTACCCCGAGAGCTCAATTTTCTTATGTGTACATTCTTTGACCCCGGTGATAGTTTTCATGCTATCCCATACTGAACTGAGGTTGTTGGTTTTGAGCTGACTCTCAATTTTGTCCTTGTATTGTTTTTTGCAAGCTCTAATCTCACATTTGATCTCCCTCTGCAGATTGTGCAGGGCTACTCTATTCCATTCTCTGAAGGCTTTTTTCTTTTTGTACAGAAGGTCTTTAAGAGAATTGGAAACCCAAGGTTTAGTATTCTGATATATATTTACAGTTTTGATGGGTACGACATGCTCTTCACAGTAAGAAACCCAGCTGCTCACCACATCATTAGTTCATCTATATCATCAGAAGACTCCTTTAACATTTCCCAGTCAGTAGAGTCCAGGCAACCCTGTAAAGTGAGACAGGCATCATCATTCCAGGATTTCACTTGGACACTTTGCACTATGCCTCGCTTCAAAGCAGTCCGGTACACCGGGATAAGGGGGATGCAGTTGTGGTTGGAGGAGCCAAGGGGCGGGAGAGGGATGAATTTGTAGGCCCCTTTAATATTGCCATAACAGAGGTCGATGGTCTTGTTGTGTCTGGTGGGGCATATGATGTACTGGTGGAAGTCTCTCAGCGTGGTTTTAAGTGTCACATGATTAATATCGCCCATAATAATATGAGGTGCTTCTGGGGAAACAGCCTGAAGACTCTGTGTGACTTGATAGATAATATCACAGGCGTTTCTTACATTAGCCCTCAGGTGGATGTACACGACAGTCACAAATATCTGGGGGAACTCCAGGGGCAGATATGGGGGGTGTAATGAAACAGAGAGTAGTTCAATGTCTTCAGTACATAATTTCTCCTGGACAGTAACAGATTTACACCATCGCTGATTTATGTACATGCACACACCCCACCAGAAGACTTGCCTGTGGCAGCCGTGTCTCGGTTTAGCCATATGGGTGGTCCAAACCCCTCCATCTCCATGTCCACATCAGTGTCCCTGTCCGACAGCCAGGTCTCCGAGAAGGCGAGGATGCAGGCGTCCTTAAAGTCGTGACTGTGGCGAGTAAGGGCTTGTAGTTCATCAGTCTTATTTCACAGAGACTGGGCGTTAGAGAGCATTATAGGTGGTAACGGTATACGAGATAATGGCTGGTTTTTCAGTTTCAGCCCCCCCCCCGTCTTCCATGTTTCCTCGGCCAGCGGGACCCGGTAGAAATCCATCAAAGCTGATCGTTTTGAGGTCTGCTGGGGGGCTAAAAAGATGTAAAAACATAGGTTCACCAATGCGTACATTGTGTCTCTCGTAAGACCTCTGGCAGGCAGCCTTGTGCCCCTTTGCAGCCATCACTAAGTTCTAGGCCTTTTGAATGGGTGACACTAGATGTCCTTGGACCTCTTCCAGAAACTCCTAACAGAAATAAGTACATCCTGGTTATTAGGGATAATTTTTCAAAATGGATGGAGGCTTCCCACTCCCTAACCAAGAGGCATGCACAGTTGCCAAGGTTTTGACTGAGGAGTGGGTGTGTCGTTTTGGGGCACCTCACAGCATCCATTCAGATCAAAGGCACAATTTTGAATCTAAGCTGTTCAAAGAACTGTGTAGACTTATGCACATTCATAGGTCCCACACTTCTCTTTATCATCCTCAATCTGATGGGTTGATCGAGCAATTCAACCACACCCTTCTGTCTATGTTGTCTCTGTTTGTGAAAGACAGTCAGCTAAACTGGGATGCTCTTTTGCCTTATGTAATGTTGACTTACCATAACAGTGTCCATGCTAGCACCTCTTTTACCGAATATCAGGTTTTGTTTGGACAATAAATAGTGTGGCCTGTTGAAGTTATGCTGAATGTAGGGGGCCAAGGCTCATCCTCAATAAATGTTTATGTGTCCAAGTGGAAGGACACATTTTCCTCTGTGGTAGAGGCAGTTAAAAAGCACCAGACCAGGGCTTCAGAGAAACAGGAAACATCCTATGATTTTAGGGCCAGTTTTAAGTAATATTCTGAGGGGGAACTGGTCTTGGTGCAGAATAAAGCTAGGAGGTGTGGGGTGTGTCCTAAGTTACAGATGCATTTCAAAGGCCCATTTAAAGTGCTGGACAGTACTGTGTAAGACGTCACAGACGTAAAGTACTGTGTAAGCTAATGCCAGTGGAGGGAGGCCAGGGGAGTGTTTTTCATTCCAACCGTCTGAAACCCTTTTACTCTTCTCTGCTAGTGCTGCTACAACTCTGGTGGTTCCAGTAGGTGCTAGTTGGGTCCATTATCGCCGATCTAGCTGTGGTTCCCCTGCAAGGGAGAGGACATCCTTGGGAAGGTGAGCAGAGCAGAGCATAGTTGGAGAGGACACTAGAGCAGAAGGAACTCCAAGTGGTCATCAACCGGCAACCTCCTTGGTTGGCCCCTCCATGCTGCAGTTACCACCTATGGAGGCAGACACTGTATCCAGGCAGGGGCAACGGGGTACTGTTGTATCAAGAGCTCCACTGGTAGAAGGGGGACGTCTTGCGCAGCATTGCAGACCACCTACATGATCTCAAGATTATCAAATGTCATCGTAGAGACTTTAGGGCAAGCCTTTTTTGTCAAGGGAGGTAGTTGGGTGGGGGTTGTAATGTGACTTTGGGCTGGGCTGATGAGCTACCCTGGTAGCAGGTGTGCCTGGTGACAGGTGTCCCTGATTATATGCAGGAGAAACAAAGAGGCAGTGAATTGTGGACAGCCATTGTTGGGGTGCCTGTCATGACATTTCAGCACTCTTTCAAGGGGAGGGTGGCGTCCGTGGCATGGGGTTATGTCCATGTAGATTCTCATTCATCCGGGTCATGGTTTTCTCGAAGACCCCAAAATCAGGCATTCTGGAGTCTTCAAGGTGTTAGGGTTAGGGTGTCTCACTAGCTGGGAGAGTTAAGTAACTTGCTCTTTTGTTCTTAAGCCATTCTGATCATGTTTTAGGGTTTTGTGTAGTGTTATTTGATTGAGTGAGGTGAGAAGGCAGTGAAGAGTTTTAGGTTGACTTACCTGCCGACAGGCTTTCACTTCTGAGTGGTGACGTGACGTGAGTTGCAGTGTGTCTTTTGCAGGTGGCAGTGCCTCCAGTAGAGGGCGCTGGAGTGCTATTTTGGTGTGCCTTTAGCTAGTTTAGCCTATTCAACTATGGCTGTGTCTCATTTCAGAGACCGCATCAGGATAAGCGCGCTGAAGCGGACAGACTACCCTTCGGAGGACTTCCTGGTTGAGTCGCCAAATGTCCCTGCCCTCAGGCTTGCGTCACGACTAACTTGAAGAAAAGCCACGGAGCGCAGCATTTATTTTTTAATTGTGCGACCTTGCACAGACTCAAAACAGTAGATACATACGAGCACAGATCATTTCCACAAAATTCATCCAGTGATTGCATGTTTTGTATGAAGGAGTATGAGGCCATATTGAGAATTTTTTCAAAGACTTTGAGATAAAAGTCGTGAATTTACGAGAATAAAGTCATTAATTTATGAGAATAAAGTCATTAATTTATGAGAATAAAGTCGTAAGGTTACCTGTTATTTCAAAGGAGAGATGTTAATATTAGGGCCATGTAGCATTTGAAGGAACTGTGCTTCAGTATAGGTTTCACAAACAAGGAGATACAAGGAGTCACAAGTATAAAGACTTAAAAAATAATATATGAGAAATACAGCTTTTCTACAGGGGAAAAAAAAAACAGATGGACTTGGAGGAAATCGCTGCTTTTGTGGAGGCAGTAATGGATATGCTGAGGATACATCCGTCAATGCAGCCGTAAATATCCGTGAATGACATTGGGCTTTAGTTCATGATATGAGTCCATACGCCATAATAAGGTGTTGGTGTCTCTGCAGGTGTAGGTTACCGCTGGTGTCAGAGACATGGTGCTCGTCTGAGCTCGACTCCCTCTGGATCACAAATGTTGATCATCAGTTGGATTGTTTCTTCAGAAACAACAAAAACTCTTTGAATGACGCGCTGATGTATCCACCAATAACCCTGCAGTCGACTAGCTTCAGCCATTTCCCCCTCCACAATAGCAGCTTTATGACTTTATTTACTTTATGACTTTATTCTCCTAAGTTTACAACTTTAATCTTTAAGTCTTAAAAAAAAAACTTGATGTGGTCCTGATACTCCGATGTAGTTTTGGCAGCTTTCTTATTTCTAATATTTTGATTGTGGTAGCAGAGTGTTTTTTTTCTGAAGACGATAATGTTTGGTTTGCAGATTTAAGTGAGTTTAGAGATCATGCGCTAATGCAGTCTGAGCTGACTGTTTGCTGTTTTTGGATTTCTAGTATTTTCTTTGAAGACGCGCTGTGTCTCCAAGCAAGTCTGGCTTCTCACCCAAAATGCCAAAATGCGCAGCTGTGCAGCGGCACACATAGAATTGTGGGATACCAAGGCCACGAAAGCATGCATAAATGCACGCTTGAAAAAGGGGCGGGGGTAGTGTGGTTTTGAGACCTAATTTGAAGCGCGCTTAGCATTTCCAGCCAAATGGGACACCGTTCATGTCGCGTGATGACATCACACACACTTCAAATGTGCCATTCGACGGTGCGGTCTCTGAAATGAGACACAGCCTGTGTCTAGTGGATAGTAGAGAGGGCCTCAGGCACCTCTTGTAGGTACTTGCCATCCCTCCCTATAACCTGTCACCTCCTTTTTATGAACTGTTGTTTTATGTGTTTTTCAATAAAGAATTGTGTATTTCTGTAACTCTGTTGTGGTTATTTGACAGCTCTGACTTTGGCAATAGACTCCTAGGACAATCCTGAAAAGCCACATTCAGTACAATATATTCAGAAGGTTGGAGAGTGGGATGCAACTCATTTATAGTGTTATGAATAGAACATAGTTTTTCAAGTAACTTGTGAACAAAAAGGTCGATTTATATCAGACACAATTGTGATTTTAAGTACTGAGGGATTCTCTCAGAATCATAGTTATTTTATTTCTCAAATCGCCCTCCAGATAGCGTCCCGACCCAGAATGCATTTTGACAAGGTCTTTGAAAAAGCGGCGCGGCTAGTTCAAGATGGCGGAGATGGACCAGCTGTTAGACGAGAGTGAGTAACAACACAAATTTGAGGAGTTTTCCATTGTAAACACACAGCCGTCCCCGTAAGAGCAGATGTGGTATTTTGTGATAAATTGTCATTTTATTTTATGTTACGAGATACATTGGTTCGGGGCTGAGTTCATGGACTACATTTTACACGCAAAGAGATACCGGTCTGTCTCAGTAAGCTAACGCTTGTTAGCATGAGAGGCTAACCATGGCTAATGTTGGAGTTCAGCAAGTTACTCCAGCCCGACTGGGTAAACAAATAACGTTAGCTTAGCTGCGAGCTAACGCATGCTAAGCATTTATATAGAGCAATAACAAAAAAAGAGTGACCGAAAAGCCTTTTAGACTAAATCACACTGGGTAGCCCCTAGCATTAGCTGTCTATTATGCTGTGCATAGTTAAACCTTTTCTGGTGAATTTCACTGTTCACGGCCGTTAGCACTGGTTAACGTTACATGGTAACTCGCCGGGTAACAGTTTAAGAAGCCGTTACAGTGAAACTAGCAGTGTTTTATCGCTCAAAAGACTCGTAACTGCCGTTTCAGTCGTTGTGAATGTTCTTTCTTTCACCATGTTGTAACACAGTGATGATCACTTCGTTGAATGCGTTTGTTCAGATGATGTAATGCCCGTGTTTGACAGCTCAATTTGGGTTTAAGGCCTAACTGACTGAGCTAGCTTCACCGACCAGCCATAACATTAAGGACGCCAGGGCAGCCTAGTGCAACCCAATACAACAGCTCCACCACAGAGATTCTACTTAGCAAAGCTTCTACATTTTCAGTTCTTGTTGACATGGTAAGACTTGTTAAGTAATTAAGGTGTACTGGGTGTTGTAATGTATTAAATGGTAATTTCTATATTTTGTCCCACTCTGTGTTTTTTTAATTTTATTTTATTTTTAAAGAAGTGGACATCATAAAGGGAACACTTTTTAACTGAACAAACTCCAGTGCACCACTACCCACTATGTGTTGAATAATAAAAAAGAGGCACAGTCATCACAATGGTGATCATTAACAAAAGTATAAATTCAGAGGCTTAAAGTTAAATTTGTGGTAGACTAGTTGCATTGAATTAAATAAGATACACAAGGTGGTCATTTTCTCACTTTCATTCTTTCTTGGCTGATCGTTGCATGTCTAACTTTATTAACCAACTAGGCGACTGCTGGTTTAGAGCACACTCTCACAGACATCAGTTTCTAAAGGAGAAATATTTGGTGGTTGAAATTGAAACAAAACATAAAACAAAATATTAATTGTCTTTTGTGTTTTTGGTGTTCGATTTGTGTTGCTGTTAATTGATGTTGACCAATCTGTCATCTTTCTCAGGCTCCTCAGCAGAGGCCCTTGTCAGTCTAAAAGGTACGTAGGCAGTATATTTAGCTGTTAATATCTTTGTAGTTTTGTTCTAGACACAGTTCTGTATGTCTAGAGTTACAGGAAAATGTAGACAATTTCATGGCTTTAGCATGAAATCTTTGGCAGTAAATGATCATGATTTTGATCTTGCCTGCATGGCTGTTCTCTGATTGACATAATTTTTCCTGTAAGAGCTGAGTACAGTTTCAGACAACACAAACCCTTGACTTTTTTTATATGAGACCTGTGATTCCAGTCTACATCCACTTGAAGGTTAAAAAAATCAAGCTAATCTTTTATATGAAATTCAGATAAACCTAAATATCTAAATGTGTAATGATAATGACTTAATTTCTAAAGCACCTTTTATAGATAAGTGTTTACAAAGTGCTTTGCCATACAGGCAATATATCCTATGTTTTTATATTCTATTTTCACAGAGGGGAGTTTGTCCAATACTCTTAATGAAAAGAACAACTTTCCCAGAGCTCACAACACCAGGGGACGGCACACCTCCCTTACAATGGACACGGTATGTAACAAATCCCCTCCACTAACAGTATTGTGATTATTGAGTGTAACTACAGTACTCAGATAATACACCAGTAGCTTAATTTATATTACAAACATATATTTGTGAAGTGCAGCATTACAGCACATAAGAAAGAAAAACTGGATAAAAATGAACTTAGGTAGTTTTAGGGTATGGAATTAACTACCTTGGTACAGGATTAGGATTAATAGTGTATACTTTCACCAGTTGGTCTAGTAATTGCTGTTAAAGCATAGAGTAAATTTAATACACAGTAATACTATGGATCACTTAAAGAAAATCACGCCCATCTGTTTTGGTTTTGTCCAAAGTCAAGTGTGTTCTGGAGGGAGATAATAGTGGTCTTTCAACAGGATACCCCCCAAAAATCTCACAGTGGCACTGCTAGTAGTAATACTTCAAGAATAATTTAATTACATTGTCTTTTACTCTACCAGTAATAGACTAGACACGACTGTTGTAGTGTTTAAGTTAATGTTGATTTGGATAAGCACTGCCTGTATTGATTTTCTTATCAGCTGCAGTTAATTATTGCCTTTGCCGTTTTTAGCAGGGTAGTTGCAATCCAAATTTTAGTTCTTGTCTTTGCCCCTAATTTAATATGTAAGGGCGTATTTGAAAGGAGTATACTATTCATATGCAACTGGTCAGTGCATTCACTGTCTGTCAGACCACAGGAGTGTACTCTATCTCAATGTATCTGAAAGGGGAGAAGTTACAAAGGCTAGTGGATCATGTTTTTATGTTGTTTTCTCTTAGAGTGATACAGTTCTAACCTGCATTTGTGGATGCAGCGACAAACTGTGTTCACAGACGTTGGTCTTTGGAAGTGATTTCAGTCTCATGCAATAATTGCCACTGTAGAGTCATGCCTGTTTTTGATGCAGTGCTGCCTGAGGGCCCGAAAAGCAAAACCATCCTGTATTGGTTATTGATCTCCCTTTTGTGCCATGATTTCTCCTGATTCTCTAAATCTTTTAATGTGCTGTAGTTCATAATGTAATTAATTTCTTTGCAATTTTACACGAAGGAACATTGTGAACTGTTTGTTCATGCAGTTTCTAATCATGTGGTGAATCTTTTCCATCCAGTTAGTTTTTTAGTGAGCAATACACAGCTTTTTCAGTGATCTGAAATGTATTGCTGACATCATATTTAAAATAGGCTTATAACTTTTTATAAAATAATACAATTTTTTGAATGATTTGTCATGTTGTCTTTGCACTTTTTCAATTAGATATAGGCTTTATATTTTTTTGAAAGTATAATATTTTTGTTTTTTATCAACATTGTACACTATACCCCAACTCTTATGACATAGAGATTGTTTAATATTAGTGTGTTCTTTCTCTCTGAGATTGTCAATTTCTATTCAAAGAAAAAAAACATCTTTTGTGAATGTCAGTCTGGAAAAATACTGAGCATGATAAATGATGATAAATCCATGTTATCTGAAACAGGTGTGTATTTACTAAATGTAGTTGATACCGGTTTTTTTTTTTTATCATAGAAAAATGTTATTCTTAGGATACAAACCTCTACACACACACACACACACGCACACACACACACACACACACACACACACATAAATATTCACTTGTTCTGAAATGGTTCAAATCCAGAATCTCTTAATTTTCACTAAATCCTCATCTTCTTTGTCCTTCCAGCCCACACGGGGCTCAAAGAGGAGCCGTTTGTTTCGGGAGGAGGATGAGCCACCCCAGCAGCGTCTCCCATCAAGGTCTCCTCGGAGGAGCCAGAGGGTCACCACCACACCACAGGTGTGCACATTGGCAGGGTTCATTTTTATGATAAACTTGTTGAGCTTGTCAAGCAGTGATGCTTATGTCACAATTATCACCCAGTGCTTTACAGTAAGATGCATAACACTACTGATGCAGTGAGGTCACTAGACCGATAATGTGTTATTTTTTATATCGTAACTCTTCTAGTGGTTTGTTTGCAGCATTTAAGGTATTCTTTTAAAGCGTTATAAAGGGATCCAGGATGTCTGAACACAGTTGTAGAGGAACATAGTATGGAGAAGAACTTCACACCATACAGCTACCTGCCCTTTTTTAAAGGAATATTCCAGAGTAAAATTAATTTAGGGTCAAACACACCGCAACACTGAGTTTGACACCCCCTCTCGAGATGAATGTTGCCGACTGCTTGCTTCTGTAGTTATACCAACTTTAGTAACAACAGCACGGTAGCAATATACAGCAGTCTGAGGAGCCATAAACAAACCTCAACCAAAAAGCCGCTCTATAGTCACAAATAATGCTTAGAACAGCACCTAGCTTCATCAACAGTACAAATAGGGTCCCAGCCATAGTACTAGCCATCAAACATCTTTTTAACTTTGCCTGATTTGTTTAGCAAAGAGACTAAACACAACTTACCCAGTCTCTTCCAGCAGCTGCTTGTTTGTAGTGAGACCTCAGGTCAGTCCATTACAGACTGCTGCGGGGTGACGCAGCTCAAGGAAGAACATTTATGATCATATCTTCTTGGAAATGCAACCAGACCGAGACACTGAGGCAGAAGAACTATCGCGTCTGCAGTGTAAAATGATTAATATGGTGATTATTACTTCAAGGAAATGATAAAGTAATGAGAACTGTTTGTGGCTATAGAGTGGCTTTTTGGTTGAGGTTTGTTTATGGCTACTCAGACCTGTGTATTATCAGGCTGTATATTGCTGCCGTGCTGTTGTTACTGAAATTGGTATAACTAGAGAAGCAAGTGGTCGGCAACATTCATCTCTCAAGGGGGTGTCTAACTCAGTTTTAGGGTGTGTTTGACCCTAAATTAATTTTACTCAGGAATATCCCTTTAGGCAGTCAAAAAGCAGACAAAATAAATCTAATGTTGCCTTCTCATTAATTACCTGCTTGGCCACGTATACATTTAGCCTGACTTAGCTAAGAATTTACATATTTGCCTTCATTCAAATTTTTTTAGGAGATGAAATTTTTACTGTTGCCTTCTTTATTTGAGAATAAATGAGGTTTTGTTTCATTAAACCCCTCAGGTATTTTGGATTTTACTCAGTTCTATAATATCAGCATGCATGCATCTTTGGAATACATGTGACTAAGTTGAATGTTTTTTTTTATTGCTTTTCCTGGCAGAAATTTTCTAATGTGGTAACACCTGATAAGAAGGCCTCCCAGAAAATAGGGCTAAGATTAAGAAACCTTCTTAAACTGCCTAAAGCTCACAAATGGTGCATCTACGAATGGTTCTACTCTAATATTGACAGGTAAAGTCCCACTTTCACCTTTTTTTAAATAAATAAATAAATCAGTTTTGTTGACAGAAATAAATTGATAGTTACAGTGATGCAGCTTTTTGGTATTGTATAGTAACATGGAAGGGTTTGAAGACTTATTGGGCTGCAATCTCAGACAACTTCACAGCATAGCTTTATTTTTTGACTGTGTCACGCAATTTTCTCTGAAAATTATTTTTCTTTTTCAGACCTCTCTTCGAGGGTGACAATGAATTCTGCCTGTGTCTCAAGGAGTCTTTTCCCAACTTAAAAACAAGGAAGCTGACACGGGTTGAGTGGGGAACTATCAGAAGACTGATGGGTAAACCTCGACGGTAAGCTCCAGTCTCTGAGCTGTGTGGCTTGGCACAACATTTGATTTGAAAATGTTGGTCTTTGTCTCCTGACTTAGTGTTGAAATTTTTTAAAATGTACTTTGTAAAGTATTTTGTCTCCTAGATGACATCCTGAGAGAAATGATCATGCAGCAGTATAACTTGTTGTGCCATCCAGGTGTTCCTCTGCATTCTTTGATGAGGAGCGGACAGCACTGAGACAGAAGAGGCAGAAGATGCGTCTGCTGCAGCAAAGAAAACTATCTGATGTATCAAACTGCAAAGACCTTCCAGATGAAATTCCCCTGCCACTCATTATAGGAACCAAAGTCACAGGTAGGATTTCGGAAATGTACATAACGCACTTTAAGTTTGAATAACCCTGGTAAAATGATGTGATGGAGAGATTACCTGTTTATTTTTCATTCCAAGAAATAAGGCATTAGTATAATGTGTCCAACTTATACTCATATACTTGTGTGGTATTACATTTTTATGAGTTAAAATATGAGGAGTAGTAGTAAAAACAGCACTGTCTTTTCCAGCTCGACTCCGAGGCGTCCATGATGGCTTGTTCACAGGGCAGATCGATGCAGTGGACACAAGCGCTGCCACCTATCGTGTCACCTTTGACCGAAGTGGCCTGGGGACACACACTGTGCCTGACTATGAAGTCTTGGTAAGATTTGCCTCAGGGCCAGCTAAAAGACTACATCTGTGTTTATATTAAGTCTTTGAACACCTAAATCCTCTTTCTTAACCTTTTATACTATGGACCAAAATAATGCAGAGTAATGTGAAACAGGTATTCATCATAGAATTACAACAGCTGTTCTAGGTTTATTGCTAAATGTTATATGTCTCTTGGTGTTCTGCAGAGCAATGAGCCCAATGAGACCATGCCCATTACAGCCTTTGCCCAGAAACATCGGACGTCTCGTTACCTGCAGAATCTTACGACTCCGCCCAGAGGGCCTTACCCGTCCACTACCACTCCTGTCCTCATGGTATTGTAGACACACATCTAATGTTCCTTAATATACACAGATGGTACATTCAAGTATCAGTTTACATTGACTCACATTTTTTTAAGTTAAGCTTCTGTGGTGGACTCTTCTAAAGGTAGCTGCTAACTGACTGGGTGCTATTGAACATTTGAGCAGAAGCAGGGTGTAGATGCCACTTGTTTAGTGTGTATTAAAATATATTTTTTGGTGGTGTTGGCGGATTAATTGTACATGGCTCACGTTTAATTAAATCAAGTAACAAAAAAAAAGAGTTGCCTTGCTTTCCTTCAACTTGCTGCTGAGTTTTATGTCTTTCAAAAGACCAGTAAACACAAACTGATAAATGGACAGCACATTTATTTTGTATGCATTTGAAATCGTACTGCATCTACAACATACAGCACAGATAGGTTTCAGTTCTTCCTCTTGGGAGTTTGTAAAGATGAATCACTTTCTTTTTAAAGGACAATGACCTTCTCATAAACCAGTCACCGTGGAGGAACAAACTGCCCGGAGCTGAGGGAGAAACTCTGGGAGGATTTCCTGTCAAGTTCCTTGTTCAAGTGGTAAAATAACTTCCTGTAAACAATGATTTATCCTTAAACTTAGTGTCACAGCTTTTCACAACTTAAATTTTTCATGACCAGACGAGGCTGTCCAAGATCCTCATGATCAAAAAAGAGCACATCAAGCACTTGAAAGAAATGAACACAGAGGCTGAGAAACTAGTAAGATCATCCTTTAAAAAGACTCCAAATCATGTCTTGTTTCAAGAAAGACAAATCATTACTAACTTCAAATTTTGATTGTGTTTGTGCTTTTAGAAGTCATACTCGATGCCGATTGACCTGGACTTTCAGAAACGATATGCCACCACAGTACTTGAGCTTGAACAGCTCAATAAAGATCTTAACAAAGTCCTTCATGAAGTTCAGCAGTTCTGCTGTGAGGTAATTCAGCTCATATGCTAAAACAGTATTCTCATGCTGACTTGTGATTTTTCATGGGCTGTACTAATAAATACAATTCATAAATAATAGGAAAATGAATATATGAAAGCCAGTGACCCCATGTTACCTTGTAGCTTGCTCCAGATCAAGGCATGGTTCCAGCCGACCACCCTACAGAGCTGCGGCGGCGCTGTGAAGACGAGGCTCAGCAGATGGTGCAGCTGAGTAGCTCACTGAAGGAGGGTCAGCAAACGGTGTCAAATCCTAGCCTCACACACCTCGTCTCTCGCCTCACCGCACTACTGCTACAGATCAAGGTAGGGGAGATGTAGATATACTGTAGCTGCTCGTCAGGAAGACTGTGGGTGTATGCAGCATTGTGTAACAGTCTATATAGGGGAGAGGTCAGCAAAAGTGTGGCAGCAACATCAATGCTTTATCAAGTTGGTTGTGATCTTTAACAATTTAGCTATATGCTTTGGTAACCTGTTAATGTCGTAATTTCTCCTGATTTGTTTCAGTGTTTGGCAAACGGAGGAGACCTGAATTCATTCGAGTTTAAATCCCTGACAGACTCCCTCAATGACATCAAGGCATCAATTGATCCCTCCAACCTCAGGTAAATAGATTGTATTTCCGTCCATACTTATAGTTTCATGACATAACTTATTTTTTTAATTTACCAATCCAGTGTCACCTGTGAACCCCTCTTGTGGGTCTCATACCCAACATTTCTCACACTGCTGTCTCCTCTGTTTTTTTAGTTGCTTCCAGAATAATGTGGAAATCCACGTTGCACACATCCAGAGCGGCCTTAGTCAGCTCGGCAACCTGCATGCATTTGCAGCCAACAACACGAACGCAGTCTGAGCACCTATATCATCCACATGCACTCGCACACACACACACACACACACACACACACACACACACACACAAACAGGTGCATGCTCACACAGAAATGTGAGACATTCATGAGGTGGTGCTTTCACCTGAACTGTTCTAAAACTACAAACAAAAGCTCACATGGATGTTGTGGACAACCACAGACCAGACCACCTGAGGCTTAATGCTGACAGGAGGGAGGGGATGTCCGAAGTATTTTACCCACCCTTTTAATGGTATGACTATGTTGCTGCACTCAATTAGACACAAACCTAAAAGAGTGTAACAATTGCCACAAATCCACATCTCCAAACACTCAAGGTTATTTCGTGGATTCATGTGCCAAACATTGATTCTTACAGTTTTTATAGTTCATATTTATTTATTTTTGAGTAGGTGTGTATGGTTCTGAAACAATATTTTGCTACCTGTAAAGCGTCCCCCTTTAAGTGTTGTGTTCTATTGTTCCACTGACTGTAAGCACAGGGAGGCTAAAGAATGTTTTATAAAATTGTGTATTGTAGATAATTGTACAATAACTGATTATTAGGCCTATTGTAAACATTTCTGCTGTGTATACAGAAATGACTTTTGTAATTTTGTGTGCACTGAAAAGAGATTTTGGTATTTTTATAAAGGAGAACTCTGGTTTTGATGCCTTTTACTCACTGACAATATCTAAGCTTTTCCATCACTGGCATGGCTGTTGCTGCAGACCCATCCTAACCCCTACACACACACACACACACACACACAAATCCTGTATCACTCTTTAAGTTCACCCCTGCAGTTTTTTTCTTTTGAGAGAGAATCTCCTTTTTCAGTTTTGTAAAGTTGTATATGAGAGTGCCTCAGGGCGATTGTATATAAATGTTTCTGTCTTTTATATTAAACATAATATTGCAAAGCAGAATTGGTCTCTATTTTTTTAGCCTTTATTGACAGATTAAATCAGTCAAGTTTTCTCTTTGGTTTTACACCGTTTTTTTTTTTTTTTACAGTTTATTACTACTTCAAAATAAATACAAATAAATCCTTTCACACAAACAGATGCCTCTACAACACATGTCACCATCTTTACATCATCTCGCATGTTTTGTCAAATAAAGCCTCCAAAGCTAGCCATAGCCTCATTCTCCCAGTCAGAGTCAGAGTCAGTGAAGTCCTGTGCTTCAGTGCCATGGATTGGGGAGAAGTGATCAAACCTGTCCCCTCCACTCCTCGTGCATGGATACTGAATATGACACCTATTCTCCTTTGGTGACGACCTGCTGAAGCTAGTCTGAGTGGGAATGGGAGGAATCACAACCTTCATCTCTGGTCCGATGGTTTTATTCGGAGGGAAGTTGTCATAATCCACCAGAACCTTTGGACCCTGGTTGCTTGCAATGCTGCCCTGCTGACTCTGGTTCTCTTTGGGGTACAGGTGTACGTTACAGCATGGCACATTCACACTCAGCTCAAGTTGTTGCATCTGCTCAGGCTTCACTCTGGTTCCTTCTTTGTCATAAACGCAGGACAGGGATGTGCGCTCATAGTGGTTGCTGCTAGGTTTAGTAGGTACACCTGTTCTGTGTTTATCATCTGTGTTTTGGTGCATTGTGGGTCTGAAACTGTCACCAAGACCAAAACCTCCTATCCTGTGTGCTTCAGTTGTATGGTTGTCAAAAGCTGGAAAGAGGAAATGGAAAAAAGGTTTAATTACACTTGCAATTTCTTAATTTGTCCCATTGGTATCAGTTTATTTATAAACTTGACCATTTGATGATCTGCCTGTTTTATTTGCAGCATTGGGTTTCAAAAAAGAATAGTGCTGTTAATAATCAACGGTTCTGTCAGGTGCAGAATTACATAGAAATGACATTTCAGATGCAAGTTGCCTCTTCTTCCAACTAGAATGGAAGAACTATTTTTCTGGTGTAACACACAGGTGGTTGTCTTACCTTTCTCTGGGCCCATCCTGTTCAATCTTTGACTGAAGGTTCCTGCTGCAGGCGTGCTGGACACCTTCAAGGACACTGATGAGCCAACTTGACGACGAGATTTGGCCCTTCTGTTCTGGAACCACACCTGACATTGTGGAGCAAACAACACCAAAAACACTTAGGTAAAACATAACTCATATTGAAGGTACTTCATACAATTTCTCTTTATGGAGCAGGCGTCAAATGTGGGCTTACTTGAATTCTAGACTCCGGCAGTCCAGTCAGTGCCTCCAACCTCTCCCGCAGGTAGATGTCAGGATATTTGGTGTCAGAGTAAACCTTTTCCAGCACCTCGATTTGCTGCTGGGTGAAGTTAGTCCTCTTCCTCCTATGAGTCAGGATCGCCACGCATTTATCAGCCCTCGGCACCGAGTTTTCAGAGCTGAAGAAGTTTGTAACATCCGACGCCCCAAAGTCTGGAAGGAAAACGCACGTACATTAGATCGACCGGAGTTACAGACGCTGGGCTCGTGCGTAAATTACGCAAAGAATCAGCGGCAGTTGATTTGAAAAGTTGTGCAGGGTGCAGAGTTGTCAGGACTATAAACAAGGAAGGAAGTTTGAGGCAAAAAAAGTAGTTTTGACCCACCTGCGTTCACCATGTTGCTCATCTGCAGAGCTCCTTCGTGATACATCTGGAAAGGATTCAGCTCCCCGACGCGCATATTCCCATGAACTGAAGACATGATCTTTGTAGGTTATCCTCCACAGACTGACTGAGTTTGCGAGTCGTGCGCTGGCTGGGGTTAAATCCCCTTGCGATCAAAGGTGCGGCAGCCTGTACGTGTGAATGGGCCGACCATCAGAGCCGACTGGCACTGTAGTGGTCGTGCAGCGACTTCAGACGTCTGTTGAGTCGAGCGAGGTGTGAAGGCCTCACACCTTGGACGTTGCAGCGGCCGCAGGTCTCTTTAAAGAGGTTTTAATGGAATCTGCATGCTCAATACACATCAGCAGTGAAAACATTTATCCGCTTTGGAATGGATGAAGTAATGATGGACGTGCAGCCTTCAAAGAGGTGCAGTCGGAAGCTGCCACTTCCTCGGGGCCGCAATGGAACCGCAGTTTACCGATATCATAATATATTTTATTTACTTTATTTTCTTTAGTTTACATCCTTTTTTTTAAATTTTGGATCTGCAAGAGAAGAGAATATGTTGTGGGAAAAAAAATCCTAGATTACAAAATAATAATTTGGACATTTCCCAATAACGGATTTTGAGGGTCAAAGGGAAATGCTTCACTATGGCGTTAGTCCCGTGTAGGCTACTTTATATGCACAGGTAGCTGTTGATAAAGTTTGATGCATTTGATGTCAAGTGTGCATAATGTATTCTACTGTGTTGCAGAAAAAAACCCACTCAATATACTGACACCTTATTTCAAAAAGTATGTTGTGTTATATTGAAAGTGGTTCTGCGGCCACTACACATGTCCAAACACTGTTCTTATTTTACACTTAAACAATAGCCCTTTTTTCCAGGTTTGGTTAACGGGTGGAGGCCTGTCTTATGTTTTTAAAGAGGTTCACATCTGTTTAGATGTCAGCTCCACTGATATCTGTAGGAAGTTATCCTTCCTGAAACATTTAGTTACAACAAAGTCAATCCCAATACACAAACTTGGGTTAAAACCTGTTCTGGAGTGGGCAATCTTTACATGAATGAGTCACCCTCATTTGGCTCAGGGGGAATCAAGTCAAAAGGTCAGTCACTACACAGACAGACTAATTTGTTTACACATATTTGAACAAGATTTACAAAGAATCTGGGCTGATTTAACTTGTCACTCTTGCAATCAAATAGATTTTATTGTAATATTTGATAACTCAGGGTGTGGGGTGATGTGGTGCTGTAAAAAAAAAAGTTTGCCGGGCGTTTTACTGCAGCTCCCTTCTTGCTGTTGATGGGATTCAGCTGTACCTTGTTTTAAATAGATACCAATAAATGAGCAAAAGATAATGAGCTCTATTTGGATATTGCCTGTATACAGAGAGCATATTGCTATGCTAAAATTAGGTGTTGAAGTTCCTGATCCTCTGCAAAGAAGGATGACAGATTACCTGAGAAACTAAAAAAAACTAAACTTTTCAACTTGCACCCCATACAGTGATACGACTCTCTAGAGTTGATTTTTGATAATGTTCTGAATTAACACACTCCACCAAAAAAACACAATCAATTACAAAAAACCATACTCTATGCTAAAAACACAACAGGCTATTTCCACAAGGCAGTTGACACACAAAAGCACAAAAGCATCTTCACACCTTTATAGTCTGACCACTGTTTAACACAACCACTATGCATCTGACCTGCAGCCAGACAGGTAAATTATCATCACAAGTTTGCAGGTATATGTTAAAATGTCAGCTGTCTAATGGGCCGTTGTTTTAAGTCCAGGCTCTGTGTATTTGAAGTTTTTTTTTTTTTTTTTTGGTAGTTGGAGCTGATGGTTTTTCATTGAACAGTGTAGGGGCACATCAATATTATTTCAACAGTGTCTTATTAATATGATCGCTAAATTAGGGAATTTTAGTGCAGGGGAGGTAGTTTCTCAAGTCATCATCAGTCCATTCGATTGTGTTTTATTTTTATTTTTATTAATTTACCAAAATTCATGGATACTATTTTGTTCTTTTAGCACATGTAAACTGTGCTGCTGCCTGTCATGACCTGGGCACTATTTAAAAAGAGATTTGTAATCTCAGTGATTTATCTGAAGTAAATTCCAATAATTATAATTAATCATGCACTTTTAAAAATGATATTTAAACCCTAGATCAGTTATATTCTGAACAAGTTCATGCAATAAAGTATTACTGTTTAGGTAAAGAAAAATACATTTAATTACAAGCCCAATTCAAAATAAACTAAACTTTTACCTTAACAACTCAAATTTATTGTTAATTCTACAATATTCTGTAATTCCTTGAGAGTTAGAAAAGTAGTTTATGGGGTCATTTATAGCCTTTATTTTGTTGAAGTTAGTGCAAGGAAAAAATTTGTGTTGAAACTTTAAGATTTTATTGTTTCATAAAAAACAAACACACATAGGCTTATTTCAACGCAAAGATGTAGCATGATTTCTGGATCATGTTTATAAATGGAACAGCATTGCACAGTTTAAACCTGTTTTGTATTTGTGGATGCAAAGATGAGCTGTGTTCACTGACAATAGTTTCTGGATATGAATGTGAGTCCATGCAGTGATTTCCACTGAAAGATCATGTCTGTTTGAATGCTGTGTCACCAAGTGGGCTTGAAAATCATAGCCATCTGATGTCAGCTATTGGGGTTGTCCCTTTTATGTGGAGATTTATTAATCTTTTGATGATCCCATGTACCATAGTTGATGAAATCTACAATTTCTTTTGAATTGTATGCTCATCAAGACTATTCTGGAAATGCTGAACATTTGGAACATGCAGTCTCTCACAGGGTGGTGAACCTCTTCCCATCTTAACTTATGAGAGACTCAGCCTGTCTGTAATGTCTTTGTTTTTTACCCAGTCATATTTTTAACCTGATGCAAATTAATGACATACATTGGGAGATATTTCTTCAGGTTTTTTTTTCTGGCATTTTACAACTTTGTCAATATCTCAGGGCCCTCCGCCCAACTATGAAAGGTATTACTAGAATCAAATTTAAACATTCCTCACGAAATTTTTTTTTTTTTGCATTTTTTTCATTTAGATGTAGTCTATAAATGATTTTTATGCTGTTGTATTAAACGTTCTTCTTAAAAGCATTTTTGTTGTAGACGTGGAAGTTTGTTGACTACAGATAAAGATGATTGTTAACGTTTCACTTGGAAAAAAATAATCATAAACTTTTATTGTATTTTTATGACTCAGTCTGCTGGGCTCATAAAGTATAACCAAACTTGACATTTTAGTTGCTTACCCTCTTTCACTTTTGCACATAAACACGTTAGTTATTTCATCAAAACTGAAAAATTGAATACTGAAAAAAATACTGAAAATTGATACTGAAAATTGAAAAGAAGAACATCCACCAAACAGAATGTTTCAAATTACTCCCTTTTCCTTTAAAAACTAACGAATTTACTTCAATCACGGCAGCGACCTCATAAATGCAGTTCTTGTAATTTACCCCTCGTTTCCTTTCCTTTTATTGACACATGATAGCAGCACATATAGTTGGACAGATGAATACAAACTGCAATACCGCGAATCAAGACTATGCACCACTGAATTTAACCAAAACGACGTGATGTTGTCAAGTAATAGAATAATGTTCATGAAAAAGGATTTATTGCTCCTTTAGTTAAAGCGTCGTCATTATTTAGCTTTTACGTCGAAAAAAATCTCCCGGAACTTCCGCCAAGTCTAAACGGAAGTAGGTACGTGGCCGCTTCAGCTGACAGTCTACATGATGGCGACAGAGGTTCAGAGCGGCGACCTCGACAGCGCTACTTCCAGCCGGCTCGAAGTTTCCATCGATGGCCTCACTCTCAGTCCCGACCCGGAGGGCGAGCAAGTCCCGGTGGAAGAGCCAGAGCCCAGCCCCGTTGAACCGGAGACCGACACGCCGGGTACCGATGAGGGCGAAGATGGAGAGTCAGCCAAATCTGCAATAGAGAGTAAATGGGGCTTCCCTCTTCAGGAGCTGTACGGAATGAGCCTTAAATTCTTTAAAGGTAAGCCCAAGTTTTTACCCTCTTTGAATTTCAACGCATATTAAGTTGCAGAGCTCGAACCTGCCGTTAAACCGCGAGACTGCTAACATTAGCAGTTAGCTGTCACAGCCTGGGATCCTGTTGTCAGCCGCAGCATTAGCTACACGGCTAACGAAGAGCCAACCCCGCTAACGAGCTATTAGCTGCCGAGTGAAGGGTGAGACCACCGTGGGGCTGAAGAGTAGTCCATTCATTGCTGGGCGACGTTTCACTGTTTGCCTCTTGTATCGCTACCGCGCGCTGTCTTTGGGTTTAACTTGCTCAAAACCTTGTCCGTTAACCGTGAGAGCGCTACATCAGCTGCTTACAGAGTCAGCCAGCCGCACCAACTTAGCCTTTCGTGGTTTGTTTGGGATCTGATCACGCCCTGAACACAACCAGCTCTGATAAAAGGAACACACAAAGGTTCCTGCTATGCTACCTCAGATGCTAAACCAGTCTTTTGGCACAGCACATGTCCTTAAAAAACAGTTTGCAGCAGTTCGTGCTTAAAGTCGTATTAGAAGGACCCGTTTAGACCACCAGTACATTGAACAGCCCCTGTGTATCCTGATATACACTTTCCAACATGAAGTACACTCACCTGCCAGGCATTATTATCGCCTTGGCAATCTTATGCAGTCTAACACAACAGATCCTCCGCAAATTCAACTGCCAATAATATTTTTAAGTTTGTCAGTGTTTTGTTGACATGGCCAATATTATTGCACTTTGTTTCTAAAAAGGAAGGGAGGTGGAGGTGTGCTGGAGTGCATTGATATTGACACACTCCAGTGAAGCCAGCTTCAATGATAAATACTGAGTACAGTTATAACCTTTGTGATAATGTCAACAAACACTAAATATTTTAAAGATTCCTGAAAGTAGAATCCTGGTACAGCTGTTTTGTTGAATTAGATAGCCCAGTGGATCATAATGTTGTGCATATCAAGTAGAAAGGCTGCTTTTGCTGACAGTCTGTAGAAGATACCTTAGACATAAGTGTTGTCACTCAAATGTGGCATACTTGGTACTAAAAGAAAGGATTATATGGGCAACAATAACGCAGCTCCAAAATCAAATTTCACCTGCCAAGTTTTATTAACACCCAATGAGAAAAAACAAGTAGAAGCAGCACAGTCTAAAGCATGTCAAGCTTGTCATTTTTTGAGTAGTTATTTTTTGTATCCGCAGTAGTATATCCTCCTCTCCCCTGTGACACAATATGGATCCTGTTGTCAGTAATGTACATAGGCAACATGAAACACTCGACATTTGTACTGTTTTCATTAGAGTAAAGCACTTGTATGACTGTGCAAACGGGTTTGGTCATTGTTGCCACCCAGTACCTTAGTAATCTGTGCACTGTATTTCCAGTCAGTTAGGGTTTGGTCAGCTTGCGCAACTTGTAAACACAGATCTGATTCCTGCCTCACCTTGTATAAAGTGAGTTTGAAAAGAATTGAAATGATCTTGTAGTGAAGTTCATGATACATAACTGTGAGTGTCAAAGTTTTTGAGAGATGTAAAAATACTTTCTTTTAATTTTAACTTCCTCCTTTCTCTAATGAGACACAAATGTTTATCATAGTATTGGCTTTGCACTGCAGGAAGTGAAGATTTTTTTCTCTGCTTCTCCCAGATAAAGATGGGAAGGCCTTCCACCCCACTTATGAGGAGAAGCTACGATTGGTGGCTCTGCACAAACAGGTGTTACTTGGCCCTTATAATCCAGATGCTTCACCTGAGGTTGGCTTCTTTGATGTCCTGGGCAATGACCGCAGGTAACCTCCTGCAGACATCTGCATTATGTGACCTTTGACCTGTGGTAGACATGTGCATATAGTGTGTGTATTTATAGCCCATCTTTTTGTTATGGCTTTGAAAATTGTCCAATGAGAACCTTTATGTTGTTAAGTTTCCATACATGTATTATTTCACATTTATTGAAGACTCATATATTGCACAAATTTCAAGTTCTTGCTGAAATGATAAAGTATCGTCAGGTTTTTCGAGAAGGTAGAGGATAGTCCCCTCTTTTTGCTCTACTTAAAAATTGTTTGTGAAAGTTCTACCAAATTTGTTTTGTCATTGCAATACGAGTATTTGATGGATGAGTCCCATTTGCTCAGCTGCCTTTACAATCCATCTTCACGTTCATTCTTACTCTGCATACAGAAAAGAGTGGGCCTCCCTGGGCAACATGGAGAAGGAGGAAGCCATGGTGGAGTTTGTCAAGCTGTTGAACAAGTGCTGTACCCTCTTTGCTCCTTACGTCACCTCACATAAGATCGAAAGGGAGGAGCAGGAAAGGAAAAGGTACCATGGTTTACTTCAGTTCCCTGTAAAGAGACTAAATACAGACTATTCACTTTGTCCTAAATAAACCATTGTTATCATTACTAATTCTCTCTGTTATGGTGCTATTCCCTAGGAAAGAAGAAGAGGAGCGTCAGAGACAGGAGGAGGAGGAGAGGGAGAGACAAAGGCAGGAGGAGGAAAGACGAAGGCTCGAAGAAGAAGAGAGGCTGAGGAGAGAAGAGGAGGAGAGAAGGCAGGCAGAGGAAGAAAGGCTACGAATTGAGCAGCAGAAGTATGTGTGTCTACACTAATACCCGTCTGAAATGTGGTCCCTTCTCTCTATGATCAGCACCTAAATCTCTCTGCTGTCCACCATTGTCTCCTCTCCTTTTCCTCAGTTTCCTTCCTCACTGTATTTCTCCTTTTGCTTTCTTTTCCAGACAACAGATCATGGCAGCATTGAATGCGCAGACAGCAGTGCAGTTCCAACAATATGCTGCCCAGCAGTACCCAAACAGCCCAGAGCAACAGCTTGGCCTCATCCGTCAGCTCCAGGAGCAACACTACCAGCAGTATATGCAACAGCTCTACCAGGTTCAACTGGCCCAGCAGCAGGTGGGTTACACCGTCAGGGATGGGTTCTTATTAATTGGTATTTATTTTTCTTATGTTGTTGAATATGTTTTTAAGAATTTTAAGAATATGAAATTGGGAAAAAAACATTGCTGTTAAAATTCATAATAGGATAACAAAGAATGTAGTTCTTGAAATTGTTTTGTCACAATTTAATGCGGTTGTGACTTAAAAGCTTGCTTTGTTGTTGAGTTATGTGTTGATACTTTACTGGCTTGAGGATTCCCAGTAGGGGCAAATTTGTAGAGTTTGGGATGGAGAAAAGCCAAGTCCCTTTATCCAATTCCCACTGCTTAAAATGTTCAGTGAAGATGGAAGAAAGAATCTTGAATAATAATGATTTGCTGTAACGTAAATCTGGCTAGGATAACAATATTAGTTCAGTGAAGCAGGATTGAGAGCTCTTCTAACAGCACTGGGGAGACCAAAAAGCCTCTGTTATGTTAGTAGTGTGTTTTTAAAGACTGTTAAAATTGTCTTCATTTCGCTCCAGGCGGCCTTACAAAAGCAGCAGCAGGCTGATTCGATGGTGCAGGGCACCCTGGAATCGAACAGTTTCAACAGCAGTGAACCCATTGTGGCCTCAGCTGCAGGGTCACTGTGTGCAGCTTCACCACCGACTACTGAGGAAGTTCCTACAGTCAACGGAGGCCAGTCTGACTCATACTCAGAGAGCATGGACAGGGAACCAGAGCCTGAGCCAGCAGAGGAGGTCTCAGAGAACGGACCTTTATTAGGTTGGTAGGCTGCTGATGTTTTCTCTTGTTTAAAAAAACAAAAAAAAAAAAAAAGCCTTTAATGCAACTAATGGCTCGAAAGTAGAGGGGGGAGGTGTCTCTTGAACAAACAAAGCTTTATACCAAACCTGGAACTTGATTCTTATCTGCTGTGTCCTTGTTGATGGGACCTGGAGGGCAGGGAGGAGACGAGTAGAACCTGTGATACATGATAACTCACTGATTTAGGTATCATTCAAACCACACACACTGCTTACAGAGGAGTATGCTCCCACACCAGAGGTGACCAAGGCCTAGGTATGATTTCGAAACATACATCCTGAGCTAAATCAATCTTCAGGCGCTACCTGTTTACTAATGATGCTTTGAGAAAAGATTGTGGGTTTTGAAGGGATTTAAACAACAACTCAGTGAATGCATCCATGCCTCCCCTTTCCAGCTCTCATAAACAATCACAATGATTGGCTTTTTTGTTCAACAAGTAATCTTTTATTCTCTATGTGTGCTAGAATAAAACGAGTAATTCCTAGGAAATGACAATACAATGTTTCTTTCTCAAATGCAAACCTTTTAATGCTGTTTTTTAGAGGGTTGTGAAAACATTTTTTTTTTATTGATCACAGCGGACTCTCCACCAGTCATAGCTGCTCCCTCCATGTGGACACGGCCACAGATCAAGGACTTCAAGGAGAAGATCCGTCAGGACGCAGACAGTGTGATCACAGTGGGGCGTGGTGAGGTGGTCACAGTTCGGGTGCCCACCCATGAAGAGGGTTCTTACCTGTTCTGGGAGTTTGCAACAGACTATTATGACATCGGCTTTGGAGTATTCTTTGAGTGGACGGATGCTGCCTCTGCTTCAGTCAGTGTGCACGTGTCAGAGTCCAGCGACGATGATGAGGATGACGAAGGTGAGAAATGTATGGCAATAATAATAACTTTATAATAACTTTATTTTTATAGCACTTTTAAAAACAGAAGTTTACAAAGTGCTTTGACAAACAGTTGCAAAGCAGAGAACATCAGCACATGGAAACAAAAACAAATAAAAACAAAAGCTCAGTTAAAAACAAGGCCTCCAAATTGAAGGCTAATTTCATTTGTCATAAGAAACCCAGACAATACAAGAACCCTACAACATAAAATGAGACCATGAGGACCAAAATAAAAACATAAAATAGATAAGAAAAAGAAATTTGATAAAAAAGGGGGGGTAGAAAGCAGAAAACAGGATAGTAAACGTAAAAAGAGAATATTCATAATGATAATAAAATAATGATGATGGTAATATTACTGATAAAATGGAATAACAAAAATGAGCAGGAAAAAAACAATACAATCAATGAAAGCCCTAAAAGGTCAAATAAGAAAAGATTATAAGTAAAACAAAGGCTAAAAGGACAGTAAGTCTAAATAAGATGGAGGTAAAAGAGATAAAAGATAAAAGGAAAAAAAGGGAAAAGACGGCATCACATAAAAACAAGTCTGTAAAAGTGAGTTTTTAAATTTGACTTAAAAGAAGCGACTGTCTCTGCACGCCTTATCTCCTCTGGCAGGTTGTTCCAAAGTTGAGGGGCTCTGATGGAGAAAGATCTATCACCTTTAGTTTTGAGCCTCAACTTTGGAACGACCAGGAGACCTTCGCCAGAGGGTTTGAGGCTGGGAGATGGCTCATAAGGTATTAAAAGCTCTGAAATGTAGCTCGGAGGAAGTCCTTTGAGCGCTTTCAAAGTAATCAATAAAATCTTAAAATCAATTCTAAAACTCACAAGAAGCCAGTGAAGGGAGGCTAAAATTTGAGTGATGTGATGCCGTCTACTAAAACCAGTTAAAATCCTAGCTGCTGCATTCTGAACTAGTTGGAGGGAAGTCTGCAGTATGCCTCAGATGTGGCAGCTTTACGGGATCAACCTGTGATGGAGGTTTAAAAAGGCAACTATGGGGAAAGAGCTGCTTTGAAATATCAGTTTACTTCCTGTGATGAACGGTGTGTGTGAAGCTCACTTAATCACTTTATCTGTGGCAATGAAATTTAACCAGCTAGTCCTTAAGAATTGTCTTTTCTTGTATATGATATGGTGTAGATTGACTGCAAAGCTGTTGTCTTCAAAGGGGTGTTTTCTTGATTTTTGTTGTTGCCTCAGTCATCAGGCCACTAAGAGATGATTAAGTATGCATAGATAAAGTTTTACTCCAGAACTTGCTTACGCTGTAGTTAAACATCTCATGAAAGTCCTATGAGGCAGAGAGGATGATGATTAAATCTGTCATAATGACAACATATATTGTGTAATGTAATTGTTGTGGTTTTATTGGTTGGGTTAATTGTTCAAACGAACCTTTGGCAGAATGTCAGTTCTTCTGAATACTAATTTTTCTGAATGTCTGACACAAGTATCTGTTGTGTGTTTATATTTATGTGACAATAGATTTATCCCTGAAGCTAATGATGTTTTTCCACATAAATTATAATATGTGAGTTAAGTTCTTCTAAAACTGTTGTCTATATTCAGAATTGATACAATGCAAAAAGGAATAAATGTTTCTTCAGGATGAATGAAAGCATTGCATAGGGGGAGTAAATCTCTTTAATTGAGCTGTGTATGACTGTCCTCCCAAATATGACCCCCTGTTTATTTTTTTGTCTACAGGTGACCCTCCTAATGAGGAGGAGAAAGCAAAGAAAGAGGCAGGGAAGCCCCAGGTGGATGAGATTGTGCCGGTGTATCGGCGGGACTGTCATGAGGAGGTGTACGCTGGCAGCCATCAGTACCCTGGCCGCGGAGTCTACCTGCTCAAGTTTGACAACTCCTATTCACTCTGGCGCTCCAAGAGTGTTTACTACAGAGTCTACTACACCAGATAAGCCTGAACACAGACACAGGGGGAGCCAAGGAGTATGTATGCTCATAATGTATGTGTGTGTTTGTGTGTATAGGTGGAGATTTGTGCGATGGCAGCCTGTATGTGTATGTATGTGAGGAAGAGTGAGAGAATACATCTGGACATAACCACCAGAGGGTGACAACGAGACACATCTGGAGCCTCAGTTTGGAGAATGGACTAGCTTGTGTGCTGTGTGAACGTGTGTATGTATGTTCCAACATACACCTATGCTAGAGCCTGTCATGGAGCCTTTGGAAGAGGAGTGTGTATTCTGTTGTATATTCACCGCCTGTCCTTGCTGCGCTCACATAGACCAAGCTGTAGGACTTTAGCTCTCATGTTGTATATTACCACTCTTCACCCTGGACTCCTCTTCTGTCACTGCTCCAGCCCGACTCTGTCCAATGTGGCCTTGTGGCTGCTTCTGCCCTGAGTGATGCTTTTCAGAGCCGTGAGAGGAAACACAGGCGATGTGTCCAACACTCTGTGAGCCAATGTTTTCTGTTTTGGTGGCTGTTTATTCCACTAAGAACACAATGTCAAAAAATTAAATTATAACTGCAAATACTCTTTATAACACAATGCCTCTGTTACATAGAGAGCTTCTGGTCTTGGCCAAATCTCACTGACACATTTTAACCATCTGAGACAAACATCATCATCCTTTTATTTGAATTAGTTGTCACTTGTTTTCCGAGTAACCATGCCTAAATAAAAAGCTAAGAGTGTGTTTGGTGGACAACAGTGGCCTTTGGCCTTTTCCTACTTGTTAAATAATGTTCAACCTTTAGTTCTTGAAACAGTCTGACTGGCACAGTGCAGTGGGAGACATTTTTTTTCTTACTGGAAAAGTTATGAAGGACACAGCTAAGAATAAAATCCAAATGAAGAATCAAATAATAATAAAAAAATAGATGTGCTTATGACACATGGATATTTATTTCCCTTTCCAAAATAGACAGGTTCTTATCTCTTTGATGCTGTCTCCTAATCAGTGACAAGTTCCACTGATGAGAAGTTGCCTCCATAGATGCCTCTGATCTAAATTTATTCCTTGTAGCTAATTCTACATTATTCACTCTCTTCGCTCAACAATTCATACAACATGATAAAACAGAGCCAGTATTAAAGATTCCCATATTACTTGGGAAGTTTTTAAGAGTCATTATGTGTTTCAACACCTAACAATGATACAAATTTCCTATTTGGTGGTCATAACACACTGTAACATCTCAAGTGTCAAATATAAGTGTTTGATACAGCTCAGTTTTTTCTTTCTGTTATGAACAAAGTCATTGTCGTCTCCTAAGTTGCCACAAATAAAGTGAGATGATGTAGACTTGTTTTCGTGTCCTGGTTGAACTGGTTTCTTTCTTGTTAATTCAGTTTGACATTTATGTGTGTTCCATTTTAAATTTGTTGCCATTATTTATATCCATTCTTCAGTTTCTCTTGCTCTGTGTACAAAACACCTTGGTGCATCATAAGCATTGTGACGGCGTCACACGCATTTGGTTTCACTTCTCAGTAATTCATTGAGTTGGAGTTGTACATCTGCAAGTGTGTATGCAACCAAACTTTAAAGACACAGAGGCAAAATAACCTGCAAGTTGAGTAACCAGTTTCTGACCTTGTTGAGTGTTAATTGATTATTTTAAGAACAGGCCACTCCTGCCTCCTTTTGATTCAGTTATTTTGAAACATAATGTCACTACCTATGGCTTAACTAAGCCATAATGTCTGAGAGTTCTGATGATTTGTTTTTGTTTGTTTCTTACTGCTCACCAAATGGTTTGAGTAGGCGTGTCCAAGCCTTGTCTGTAAATAATTCTATAAATGAGTTTATGTATGGGTTTTAGATGTGGAAGAAGGCTATGGTTTTTGAGAATCAATGCACTGTAAAATATGGTGAATGAGATTTATGTATACATTTTACCCCAAATGAAAGTCCAAAACTAGTGGGAGATGGAAAACTGTTGGAGTCTGTTGACCTGTCATACAGAAAAACTCATCTTTTGTATTGTTTTGACCTGTTTGGATCTTATATGAGTTGAAAGATTTTTTTGGGCATATATTTAATCTTTATTAAACTTATGTTCATCTCTAGAATTGGAAAATGTGTCTATTTTTTGTGTCTATAATTTAGATTCTGTATGACCCTGTAATTAATGCCTCCAAAATCAAATAATAGCCTTTTTAGTTCGTGTTATCTTTTTTTTCTGAGCATGCACTTTGGTGCATTAAAAGTGCTTTGGCTCTTTAGTATGATACACCTGTGCCTTTTATGTTGCATCAAATGAACTTGTCTACAGTGTTAATTAGGTTCTTTATTTTAGGAAACAAGGTTCGAGGACAGCTCATACAGGCTAACAATAAACTGGAAAGAGAGGTGACTGGATTGCTAGTTTTCAAGAAGAGACAACAGGAACAAGAACAGTGCTGGTTTGTCCCTTTTTCCATTAGAAGGAACAAGTGTCATCCTCATGCTGCTTTCCTATCACACATTTTGTAGGGGGAGGAAGAATGCAGATGTCACTCTTGCACACCAGGACAGTTTGAAGTTTTTGGCTCTCCCATGTGAAGTTATCATGTACAAACAAAGGTGACAGCACTTCGACTACTATACAACCCTTACTAACTTTAAATACCTCCTCTGCTGGTTTGGTAACCAGCAGAAGAAGTATTTCTAGTCAGCCCAGTAATTTGAAAATAATACAGAAGAAAATAATTGAAGTTTCACATACAGGCATCATCAGAGATATTGTGTAGACTTGGAGACACCAGGGGGCGCATTTAATACAACAGAGACAAATTGATATTGACAGGCTTTTGAGAAGCATGTTAATAGTATCCTTTAATGGTGAGGGGTTTGCTCTTAGGAATTTAACCAGAAGTTTGCAGGGAGAGGGACACAGGCCTTGGACAAACATGCCTGTAAGTTACACGCAGAGGGGAAATAAATCACAGACAAGTGTCCAGACAATGTGTTGCACAGGGGTTATTTTAAAAGGCACGAGCAAACAACTGCCATGTTGAAAATAAAGGCACTGACCACAAATTATAGGGTACCGGCAGCTAAATGCCTTTTCATGTCAGGCTCTATACTGGTTTAAGCTTTCAAAGGCATTTAGGTGTTTCATGGGTCACTGTAGAAAAAAAAAGGTTTGTTCAAAAATAGTCACAACTCACTGTTAAAAATTAATGGAAATAAAACTGCACACACTATATCTTTACACACAAGCTAAATCCAAGACGATTTTTACCATAGTTTTCTGGTTAGCTCTATAACTTAAACTCCAGGGTATCTTAACCAAGCCAGACAAAAATCATTAAGTTTGGGAGATTAAATGACACATAGGTCAGTCAGTTTTAACAAAATGGTATTATTGAATTCTTTTTAAGTTCAGGTACAGTACAGAACAGTTATATTTTAGAAATTACCACCAGTTATTCAGTTTTATAGTTGTGTACAGTGATTCTTTTTTTGCTAAAAATCTCTATATCAATCTTTTTTTACAATATCACTTACAGCTTACTATGTGAGGCACCTTTGGTTGGTTTATGGCACCGTCAAGGAGAAAATTGTACCTTGTCTTTTTGCAGAATTTAACCCGCATGTGTTGGTGTTGTTTTCTTACTAAGAGTGTCAAACAGCTGTCTTTATCACTTAAATATCATACTCTTTGCATACATGCAGGATAAGTTGTAAAGACTGTTTTTTTTTTTTTTTTTTTTTTTAAACGCAGCTAATTCCTTGTCAAACCCCCACCCCAAAGCCTATACAGGCAAAAAGAAAAAGAAAAACAAAAGCATATAAAAACCATCAGCTTTTGCTGGTGCCATTGTTTGCCTTTGAAGGACATGTGGAGCCATTACTGTTTTCTAAGTTCATTTCATTACCAGCTTGCTATGCCCCACGCGAGCTTTAGGTTTAATAAATCCAAATATTAAGGAGTCGTCATCTAATACAGTATAATGGTAGTGTTAATTTACTGAGTCCCTCTGTGTCATTTTGTATGATTTCCTCTGTGTCTCTCAGAATGGGAGAACTCCGGTCCAGGTTTTCCAACAGACTCAGCAGCGACTCCGGAGAGAGTCAGGTAAAATCTCCTCTGTGTGTGCGTGACTCCGGTTCCAGTTGCTACAGGTAGTTGTAGTATTTTCCTGGTTTTGCCTTGTACTCCCCTACTTTTCCTTGTGTTTTTTTCTCTCCAGCCTGTGCTCTTGTCTGGTTGATTTTGAATAGACTTTGGGAGGCAACGTCTCCAGTGTACAGCGGCTAAAAGTCCCATGCTTTGAAAAACAAAAAATATGGCGGGATTGGTGGATTACACAGCCTCAAAAATAGCCCTAGAGTGGCACTGCGTGTTGGATTTATGTTGAAGCCCTAAGTTTGTATTTGCTCGAGCAGTTTTCGGTCCCACTGGAGTTATAGGTCTGAAATTAATATGCCCTTTTATCAGAGGAGCATCGAGCCGCGTCGTGCGAGTCGGTTATCGGCGAGGGATGGCAGGAGACCGGTGGAGGAACCCGGGAGACGCAAACTGCGAAAACCCGTTTTATTCTCGTCGTTGGATGAGGTTGGCTGTCACACATTGACAAACATCATTCACCAACTTTCCGACCTTTCTCGTCATGCCAGCGACATCTTCCTGGGTATCGAGATGGAGGCAGGGATGGTGTTCAGAAGATCCTGCAGGATTCATGGGCGATTGCAAAGCCTGCAGTGTCAAGTCCGCAAGCTTGATCCCAAGAACGTCAAAATCCGTAAGTTTGTGGTGTTGGGAACTTGTGGGTTGACAGGGTGCAGGAAGAGAGTCTGAAGATCAAGAGTTAATTTGATCTTTAGAAATTAAAGATACTGTAGTAATATTGTTGTAAGAGGAGAGTAGTCACCATAAACTTTTGAGATCAGCTGAGATGTACATGTGAATGTGTATGACAGTACTTTCATGTCACCTGTAAGACATGATATCCCACTACTAAGGAATATTAATGACAGAGTGAAAAGTATGTTTAAGTTTGTTAAAATCTGACAGACTTTGTTGCTGCTCAGTCAAAATAAAAGTTTTTTGTGTAGAGAGATGCTGGTCATGTCCAAGGTGACAGTCACCCTCCATTCAGTGTAAGAACCGTGAAGGAGTGACTGGTGCGTCCTCCACACATGGCTTTTTTGTCATGATTCAGACCTATGGTAATGTGAATGTTGAGTCCTGACAGGAATGATGGATTTCCTCTCAACATACTCACCATCTGTGTTTCAGTCTTCAAAGGACATTAAGATCACAGGAGGCATTACGACCTGTTACCCCTGCTGCTTCTTGCTGTTTCAAACAGTGCTGCTCAACTAGAAGATAAATGGAAAATCAATACCTTTTGCTACAGCCTGTGCTGACTTTAATTGTTCAGGGATTTGTTTGGCTGCTCCTTTAAAGCTACCTGGTGGAGTCTCAAACACAGTGGTTACATATTAACTCAGACTTTGGCTCATGAATGGCGCCTGTGATAGCTCGAAAACATTGATCGTTGAAGGCCTGTGATTTTTGAACTGGTTTTGAAGCCTTGAAGTGATTACATATCTGCTTGGTTATACCACTGCTTCCTGTTTAATAGATTGTTATGAGGCTTTTTTCATCAGCATAGTTGTTACGAGATCAAATATCCCATTGATTCCATGTACAGCTTTTTTGTTTGTCTAATTTACTGTTGTAATATGTTGCAAAGTCAGATTCAGAGGACAAACCACAATTCATGTGAACGTTTTGAAATAGGATTCACGTTCTGAGTCACTGGCTTTTGTTTCTTTTTTACTGTCCTTCCTTACATTATTTTCAGCCTGTCTCAGGTCTGACTCACTCTCCCTCTCTCTCTCACAAAGACACACACACACACACACACACACACACACACACACACACACACACACACACACACACACACACACACACACACACACACACACAGATTTAAAAAGTGGTTACAGGGAGATGATAAGTTAAGCAGACAGCTCCCAGACACAATTGAATGTGATGTATGATGAGCAACAAATTGAACATACACAGACTGACACTCCACTAAGCATTGTTTAGGAGGTACTCTGTGCATGACAGTGAACAGACATTGAACTAATCCCCTGTGTTATCACATAGCATGACTACTCCTATTTTCTGGACCTGTTGATGCTTTGGCACAGTCCTAGGTGGGGCTGGGAGTTCCTTTTCAAAGGTTAGTTCAGTTAAAGCCATTCATTCGGTGGAGGTGTGAGCGAGCAGAGTGGAATGCAGTGTGTTACTTGTTTAGTGATCTGTGTGTGCCAGCTCCCACATCGCCCCAAGGCCAGTGCTGGGTGTACAGGAGTGCTGACTTCATAATCATGACTGTAACTCTGTACACAAACACCTGTATTTCAAGAATGCCTTATGGTGCAACCTCCAGCCTGACTCAAAAAAGACTCATGAAGTTGAATATGACATAATGCGGTAAAACTGGTGGAGTTGTTTTTGATGACCATTTGAAAAAATTTTAATTTATAGGTGTGGAATAGTAACCTGCCTGTTCTGGTTTTTACAGATGTAAACGACACGGTACTACTACACCTTTAGTATTTTGAATGTAGCAAAGGTTTTATTTCAATTTCAAGCAACCCAATGACAATTAACTTAACAGGAAAGAATATTATGCATAAGTTTAACATCTTAGAGTTTGCATGGTAACATTTAACTGCTTTCCAAACTGGTCTTGAACTACTATGGGTCAGGATTCCTGGCTTAACCTCAGGTTGGAGATGGTTCATGTTACCAGTGAGGGGCACAAAGAGGGGCCCCTATATTCCGGTAGACTGACATTGAAGAAAGGTTGTAGTGATTTGAGTGTGTGGGTGTGTGTGTTTGTGTCTGTGTAGTGCTGCATCTCTCTGTTCGTCTTCATCTGCTGACAAGGTCATCACCAGGGGCAGTTTGAACAGGAACATGACGATAGGCAAATGTGCTCTTCCTCTCAGTGTGTATACTTTGTTTTTTTTTCATGCCACTCTTAATCCATTTATGCTGAAGTCCCAGTCACCAGGTCAGAGGTCATTTTACAGCCTCAAAGGGGACCACCTGACACTCTCTGAGTC